TTGTATTGAATAGTTTAAAACTACTAGTTGCACAGAGACAGCAGCGTTGAGCAGAATGGATACGAAGCAGGTTCCTATTAGAACAAGAGGATTCTTCTTTCATGATCCGTTCTTTCAGATTAACTGGGAGAAGTTTGAGAGCTTGAAGACGAGTTTGCTCCGGGTTTCTGGAGATGTATGGAACAGGTTCAGACAATATTGCAGCTTTATCCCGTTCTTCCCAACAAACCATATAACGTAACTTACGGAACTACGTTATCTGTTACGTTTCTGTAACGGTTTTGTAACGTTACATGAAACGTAACGTTACATAACATTTTAGAACCATATTTGAAACGTTTCTGAATACCAATCCAAATTGTACGTTAATGAACAATTGTATTTGTCAATTATAAATTTCTTATGTAATTCATATATGTTAATTAATTCATGCGTCAAAATGTGTAAATTCTAATCTTTTTTAAAAGTTTTTAAACTTCGTTTCTGAATCGTAAAGTTACGTAATGGATTTTAAAAAAAGAAATTTGAATAAACCGTTCCCCCGGAGATATATGCTTCCTGATCTACCTGGAGTACAGGACGAACACTCCCTCTACGGATACTCTGATGACGAGCTGGTGAGGTGGAAGGAGGATGAGGACGGACTAGAGATTACTCTAGATACACATCTATATACACCTGGAGATATCAAGGTGGCAGCTGATGATGGAAGGATTATAGTTCATATGAAACATGAAACAAGATCACCAGATCTCAAGATGAGTGTTCTCAAGGAGTTCAAGAGAACCTATCTTCTCCTGGAAGGGTTGAGGAAGGATGATGTGTTCTCCGATCTATCTGCTGACGGAGTATTGGTTATCTCCGCTCTTAAACCTGGCTCAAGGCTCAGGGTTGGGAAGAGTTTTAACTCCGGGCTACTTCAAGAACCGAAACACAAGAAGTTTAAGTATTCTCCGAATCCTATAACAGATGACATGGGTTTAGGAAATCTGATGAGCACTGGCATGCTTTAAAGATAAAATGAGTGGCGTAGAAAAATAAAATAATAATTGCATCTGAAACCCATCTTAAAGCATTTTTCCTTTCATATTCAAACAACATTTCTTTGTTAATGTAATCTTGATTGAAAAAGTGTGAAGATAGTTTTCAATCTAAAGAAAAAAGAAAAAAAATGGTAAGTTGATCTCTACAGTAAAGATTGAACACAATCTCAAGGAAGAATGAAATAAAGTTGCATTTTATCAGTTCCATTAAACTAAAAGATTATTTGCTGAACCTTAGCTTTATCAATACTTTCTAGAGAAGAAGTTTAATCAGTGAAATGGACACTGAAAACACTGGAAAAGATATTTATTGTGAACACATCCCACACCCCCCTCTACGTACATCAAGCCCAGGGGGGATGGGCTGCTTTTTCATTCATCCTGAAAAGTTGGAAGGGAAAAAATTAAAGATATTGCAGAAAAGGAGTAGAGTTTTTGCCACAAACTCTGATTTTCTAATCTCTATAGCTTTGTAACCCAATGTCGTAGACCTTAGATAATTCAAACTATTAATACTTACAGATAAAATAATCTAAGTTTGAAATATCAAAGGTTTGCACCATCAGGTGCAAAGACATTGGGATCAGAAGGTTTGAGTTTGTGGCAAAAACTCAATTCCTTTCGTTCAGATTTTTTAAAAAGTAAGTTTTTGTAATCTGTGTGTATAAATAAACTAAAAAAATATTAGAATCAATAAATGTAGAACTGTGTAACTTAGACTTATTGATTTAATTATTCCTAATATTCTATATTTTGTTCATTATCATGAATCAGGATTAATTACTCTTGACTTGTATATTTTGCAGAATTTTAGAGAAGAAAAGAAAAAATTCTATTTAAAAATGTAATAAGTAGCAAATGTTTAACAGGGTTCATTAGAGGAAATATTTTTAAAATTTTTTTAAAGGTTTCAAGAAAAAAGTTTCAAAATGACTTTTGTCGTTTTTTCAAGTGACCCTCCATCTAAAAGAGAGGCTTGTCAAATTCACAACTCTTCTCTTTAAACTGAAACCTGATCAAAATTATGGAAGACAATGCCGTTTTTCTATATTGAAAAGTGTAGCAAGGAATGTGCAAGCCAGTTTTGGAGAGAAACCACAAAGGAATTGAGTCTTTGCCACAAACACTGCTTTTCTAATTCTTATATCTTTGCAACCCAATGTCGCAGACCTTGGATATTTCAAACTTTTGAATTCTGTGAGATAAAAAAATAGAAGTTTGAAATATCAAAAGTCTACGCCATAAGGTTGCTAAAATATATGGTGTATAAAACTGATAATACTTGATCAGACAAATCTTTTAAGGGTACCGTTGTGAATCGGGAATTCTATCATTCTATCCGTCTATAGTTCCGGTCTTGATGGGATGATAGTAAGAAGGAAAAAAAATCTAAATCGATCCTTTGGTTGAGAATCCGGGACTTGTATATTCGAGGTTCAAGGGTTTAGCTTATTATAATAGAGAATATTAAATATAAACCCCATCAAATATGAAAATGTAAATGGTGTAAAGAGTGAAGTATTGATTTTCTCCAGTAAACCCGACTCTAGGCCTGAAATCAAAGGTTTAATGTATAAATCTAGGGAAAGCGTTGTCTGTGTATCCAGGTGTCCCAGGCAACACGGAGTAGTCCTGCAACCAGAATAAGCTCAGTGTTTCTAACCAACTACCCAGCACACAAACCATGCAGCTTATACAGGACAGGATAACTTAACTATAATAAAAATGGAGTTTAAATTGACAAAAGGCATGACTGCCTTGGCTTTATGTGTGCTGAATCTAATTCTGTTTCCTGACAATGTTCAGGGAATGGATATTGATGGAAACTGGAGTCCTTGGTCAAGTGTCAAGGGGTTCTGTGTAAACCCTGATAACCCCCTGGCTTTGGTTAGTTGCGGTGGTGGAGTAATGAAGAGATATAGATCTTGTACTAATCCCTCTCCTCAAGGAGCAGGAGCAGTGTGTGCTGGAAGCAATACTGACTCAACGCCATGCAATACTAATCCTTGTCCGCTCCCAGTGGAATTCATGTGGTCGGAGTGGTCAGAGTGTTCTGCAAGATGTGGACGAGGTCAGCAGAGAAGGTATAAAATGTGTGGAGGCATACGGAAGAGATTACCTGAAATGACCGCAGGACATGGGGATAATGCAATACGTCCAACAGAAGCTCCTGTTCTGATTCCTGGAGCAACAGCACCACCAGCAGGAGCAGCAGCACCGGCAGCAGCATCTTCTCTACCAGGTGGTAAAACGTGGATAGATTTATGGGAGCTTGAGCTGAGTAGCCCCTGTATTGATCAACCACCTCTAGAAATGAAAGATAATGAGAATCAAACCGTGCGCGACTGCAACACATGGAAGTACTATGGGCCCGAACAACCTGATCTCTGGAACCACACTAATTGCCCGGATCCTTGTAGTATTTACAAGTGTCCCAAGTTTAGTAAGTGTGACACCAAACTTAGTACTACTGAAGATCCAGTGCTAAGATGTACATGTCAAATGGGGACTGTTATGAAGTCTGACAACAGTTCTTGTATTGTACCACCTCCTACAACACCGACACCAAGGCCTATACCAACCCTGCCTGCTGCAACTAAAGCAGTAACAGGAGCCGTTTCCAGAACAGCCTCTACTCTTATAATTATATTCTTGACAATAACAATTGTACTTTTCTTAATCTTTAGAATATTTGACCCGCACAGAATAATTCAGATGTGTGAAGAAATATCTTTACTTGCAGCACATATATGCCTGTTTCCAACAGCTTATGCTAAACCTGTACCCGTAGAGTGTAGGGTCCTATCTATCCTTGTTCATTACTTTTTCACAGTTTGCTTCACCTTCATGCTCCTGGAGGCCACACATATGTATGCAATGGTAGCCAGTGTGGTTAAACAGAAAGGTCTGCTGTCCACAAAACAAAACCTGGTTGTTGGTTGGGGGGTGCCAGCATTTATTGTTCTTTTTAACATGTGCTTTGAATATGAGAACTATGGGGCAGTTTACCACTGTTGGTTAACCATGGATACCGGATTACTATACGGACAGTTTGTTCCGATAGTAGTGATGGTAGTGTCTACCTTTACACTGATAGAAGCTGCTGGAGCATCTGAAGAGTATCCTCCTCTAAAGGATTGTGACGAGGTAGACCGAACTACAGCTAAAATCAGTCAGAGGACCCTTCTCATCATTCTACCATTAGTATTCGCATCCTTTGTTACAGGAGCTCTTTCAGAATACGAACAACAAGTTCCGCTTTACGGAACATTTACTATCCTAAATGGTGTTGTGGGAGGAACAATGTTCTTTTTCCATGTGACCAGTCATCCCAAGACAAGAGCATTGGTCACCAAGGTTACAAGCAGTCTTTGTAAGAAAAAGAAGTAATCATTGGAAAAAACACAAGATAATTACTATTTTTAAACTATACTGGATTAAATATATTTCTTTTTTGATTGTGAAAAAATGACTGTAATTACATAATAAATATACATTTTTTATTTTTGTTTTTGTACAGAGGTATAGAGAGAATGAAAGGCAACAGAGTTCTTTTCACAAACTCAAATTTCCTTATCACTATATCTTTGCAACCTGATGTTGTGACTCTTTGATATTTCAAACTTTGACTTTATAATCTTACAGAATTTAATGGGTTGAGACATCGTGTTGCAAAGATATAGGGAAGGGGGGGAATCAAAGTTTGTGGCAAAAACTCAGTTCATCAAAAAAAAGACAAAGTTACACAGACTGTTCAAAAAATTTGATTTCGTTCGTTCTCAAAATCATCGTTCATTTTCCATCTATTTTGTTCGTTTTCTCACTGAACAGTGAACTTTCGTTCAATAAAATCGTTTTTTCAGTAAAATAAAAGATTGGGTTTACAAGAGTTTGGTACGGAAAAATCCTACGTTCATTAAAAAACGATATTTTTTTTCAAAATTTTCCAGAAAATTCGTTCGTTGACAAAAACGATGCCCATATCTAGGGATGGGTGGGGTCTACCCCTGTCTGTCTGGTTAGGGATGGGGTGGGACAGGAACAGAAAATTAAATGTTTAAATGTTTCCCTAAAAAGTTGTTGTAGAAGTATTCAAGGGTTAGGAAGGGTGAAAACTGAGTCAGATTACTCACATAGTTACTCTCAGCTTAGTACACAAACAGAGAGGGGGAGGGGTAGTTAATCCTAAATATTTAGAAAATTTAAATATTAGATATTTATCAGATAACTATTTTAAACTGTTTATCGTTTAAAATTAAAAAAAAAACTTTCTTCCAAAAATTGGATAACACTATACGAATTTGAATCACGTGAAGAGCCATTTAACAAAGTGAAATGTGCAGGGTTTGTAAAATTATATTAAGTGCACACTGCACACTCACTACAGAGCTAACTCGACAAGAATATCCTAATCCTAGTTCAGTTGAAACCCGGAGTAAACTAGACAAGGTTCTCGGTGTAAATTAGTGACTTGGAGTTAAAACAAACAAATTCTAAAGCTAAAACGGTACCTGGAGTATCAAGCTCTCCTAGTTTAACACGAACCTGGAGTAAACTAATCAAATTCTCCTTGTTTAACACGAACCTAGAGTAAATTCATCAACTTTTTCTTTTAAATATGAACCTGAATATTACCTAACAAGTACTTTTTTTCTTGAATCTGGAGAAAACTCAAGTAGCTCTCCTAGTTATACACTAGAAACCTGGAGTTAATCAAAGTCTTTCAAATAAATATGATTTATTGGAGAAATACGAGTTTATTTAATCAATTATTTTTCATTTTTCATTAAACACGTTTAAAGGGAATGTAAGCGTAAATTAAAGTGATCCTCCCTGCAAAGGTGGCAATGTCCGATTCACAAGAGTACCATTAAAATTCATAATATGTCAATGTTTACAATTTTGAATTTTTTGATACTTTTCAATTGATTGGTGTTTCTCTACAAAATGTGACTAGCACATTTCTACTGCAAGAAGACATATCGAATTATCATAACTAAATACTAATCTAATATAAATCTAAAATAACGACAATATCTTCCACTGAACGGATCAGATAAAGGTCTTAAAGATACCGTTGTGGATCGTGCACTATCATCTTTGCATTTAATTTCACTTAAAACTACGTTACAGCATAATTCTTGCATAGAGATATTCACACAATTTTAATGGAAGTTGTCAGCTATTTAGCTCCGTTTAGGGACACCCTTTAGGTATATCTCACTCCTGTATTCCGAGTTCATTAGCGCCTGATCCAATCAGGGTTCAGTCATGTGTTTGTTGTCTATTCTAAACCAATGGAAATAGTATGGCGGTAACATCTATCTTTCTATCTATCTCATTTTCCAATCAGAGTTATAAATACTTCAATTAGCGCTATCAGTAAATGGAAATATTTACTTCTACTGAAACTACAAGTATATATATACATTTGTATGCTCATCAAAAATATATGAGAAAGTGTTTTTTTGGCTTGAGAACCTTTTTATCAAATGAAATGAATGAAATGAGAGAATTTTAATTCTCGGCATAATAAATTTGTAATTAAACCCTAATGCTGCAGCTACACATACAAAAACAAGATCAAAGCTTTGTAATTACTACGTCTCTTCTCTCTAGTTAGTTTATATTTGTCTGCCAGTATTCAAATTTAATGCTCTGAAAGAATTGAGTTTTGTCACATATTTAGATTTTCTTATTCCTATATCTTTGCATTTCAATGTCGGAAACCTTAGATATTTCCGACATCAACCATCAACAATATGAACAACCAAACCCTGTTAGCCAACATGGATTTCTTTCTTTTTGACAGGTCTGTCCTCCTCACCACCCGTCTGACCGTCTTAGGTCATCTTTTACCGTAAAATTCACTGAATTTTGAGTTCACAGCAAATGTCAAACCTCCAACAATATTTGAGTTCCTGGCCAAGTATGTGACAAAATTGGAGAAGACCTAATCTTTACGACGTTGACTACCCACCTACATGTATAAGGGTCAACCCAGTTCGGTACGGACCTCCCGCTGCCAATATCAAACCTCCACGTCATTCCTCCAATCCTTTGGCTAAACCTCCCAGAGAACCCTGCATCCTATTCACCGTCAAAGGATCCCATACTGACCATTACCACCTCACCACTGCGGGGTCGCCAAATGAAGTTCTCCCAACATCCTTAAACTCATCTCTGATAACTACGTTTGCCCTAGCTGCACCCACAATCATGACCCAGCCTTCAAATGCAAACTACTCTTCTACAACAGGACCTCCAAGGTGTGTCCCAGGTTGCAAGCATGACGGGTTCCAAGTCCAACATAAGGCCTGCATGCACAGCAACCAGATCCCTGCAGTCATGGTGTCCAAGATAGGCTCCGACAGATCAATTCCATTAGTTGAAAATGTTCCCATGGGAGAGTTCTCTCTAGGGATCCAGTACGACACTGACTGTCAAATTAATCTGATCCCCCTGTCAGCCCTCCGAACCCTTCCACCTTCCATGTACTCCCAAAGGGACCTCTTCCAGAGAGTAAAGTGAGAGTAATGACCCGCGCAGGAGAGGGTAAGATCATTCTTCACTACTGAGATCAAGTTGAAGTTGCATAGGAAGATTCTAAAACTTTTGGCCATGGAAGAAGACCTCGACAACGGCTCAGGGTTCTCCTTCTCAGTTCTCCCCAAGTTGAGGTCATTCACAGGGACCTCAACCTCGTACCACTGTGGTGAGATCTCCATCTTGCTGGGCGGATACAACAACTTCTTCTTTCCAACTGAAGTAGAACGAGCTCCACAGGGAGTGGCTCTAAATATACCAAAGCAACCTGACTCAGAATTATCTGGTATACGGCCCCGTCCCTTCCAACACCATCACCTGGGTGGAACAGCCTCATCTCCACCCCCATCAACACCCTCTTCATCAAGTCCTTAGTCATCCAAGATCCCCATACTGACCTTCTACTTGTTGATCTTAAATCAACTGCAGATCCTACAATCAAATCAATTAAACCAGATCCTTCAACCAAACCAATTCTGTAAACTGAACCAGATCCTTCAACTGAACCCGATCCTTTAATCAAACCAGATCCTTCAAGTATACCAGACCCTTCAACCAATCCTGATCCTTCAACAGAACTAGATCCTGCAATCAAACAAGATCCGTCTACTATACCTCATCCTTCAACCGAACCAGATCCTTTGACTGAACCAGATCCTTCTACCAAACCAGTTCCTCCAATTGAACCTGATCCTCCAAGCAAACCAGACCCTTCAGCCAAACAAGATCCGTCAACCAAACCTTATCCTTCCACCGAACCAGACCCTGTACCAGCCTGATCTTTCAACCAAGCCAGATCCGTCTACTGAACCAGATCCTACTACCAAAGTAGATCCTTCAACCGACCCAGATCCTTCAACCAAGACAAACTATACACTGAGTCCTCCAACAAAGAGAAATAGAGCTCATTTAATTCCGATTACAGGGTTTCCACTCATAAATATTTTACATTTCTTAATATTCCTAGGAAAATACATTTCTTCAAATTCCTTATAATTTATTACCAAAAAAGTCAAATTTATTCCTTAGGTTTTAATCTAAAATACAATTTCAAGCAAACTAATTCTCAAACTTATCTCAATTTTTATTTTTTTTACAAAATTTATCCTTTATCTTAAATCAATAATTTTATTTATTTACTGAATTCGGAAATAATTAAAAGAGGTAAAGAAAATATTCACCTCAGAACCCGTCGGAATTCGTCTTCAAGACTTCACTCGGATTGATTCGAGATCAAGTTCAAACCGTGAGCTTCATAATATATTCACTGATTAATTCTCAAATACCATCGGTCAACCTTTTCGTAAAATCATTCTTAACTAACAATGACAAAATGAGCAATACTCAATAAGTCAATTTCGATTTTATTTTTATTAATTTTATTTATTTATCCAACAATACAACAATTTCGAGTTTTTTTATTCTTGTTAATTTTATTTCTTTATCCAACCTCAAGTCTTAAATCAGTTCAAATTAGATCTTCACTTTACATGCCGGTACCCATTTCACAAAGCAACAATATGGAAGATAGCATTGGTTTTCTATCTGCACAAGTATTCCTGCTTTGTCTCTACCGAGAGATTTTTCCTGGTGAATTCACAAATGAAAAGGATCAATTTTCCTTCAGAAAGAAAGAATGTCTTAATTATTTTTGTTCAGATCAAGGTTTAAAGAGTTTTGTTGTGAATCGGGTATACCCATATTTTTTAATAAAATAATGTCTACAGTCCATTAATACAGTTCTAGATAAAAATGAATCGACCAGGTTTTCACAGATCTAATTCAAGTTCAACCTGTAAACTAGAGGAACCTGTTATACTCAGGTATACTAGAGGAACCTGTTTTATACTCAGGTAAACTAGAGGAAACTGTTATACTCAGGTAAACTAGAGAAACCTGTTATTCTCAGTAAACTAGAGAAACCTATTATTCTCAGGTAAACTAGAGGAACCTGTTATTCTCAGTAAACTAGAGGAACCTGTTATTCTCAGGTAAACTAGAGAAACCTGTTATTCTCAGTAAACTAGAGGAACCTATTATTTTTAGGTAAACTAGAGGAACCTGTTATTCTCAAGTAAACTAGAGGAACCTGTTATTCTCAGGGAAACTAGAGGAACCTGTTATTCTCAGGTAAACTAGAGGAAAATGTTATTCTCATGTAAACTAGAGGAACCTGTTATACTCAGGTAAACTAGAGAAACCTGTTATTCTCAGGTAAACTAGAGGAACCTGTTATTCTCAGGTAAACTAGAGAAACCTGTTATTTCCAGGTAAACTAGAGAAACCTGTTATTCTCAGGTAAACTAGAGAAACCTATTATTCTCAGGTAAACTAGAGAAACCTGTTATTCTCAGGTAAACTAGAGAAACCTATTATTCTCAGGTAAACTAGAGAAACCTATTATTCTCAGGTAAACTAGAGAAACCTGTTATTCTCAGGTAAACTAGAGGAACCTGTTATACTCAGGTAAACTAGAGGAACCTGTTATACTCAGGTAAACTAGAGGAACCTGTTATACTCAGGTAAATTAGAGAAACCTGAGAATAATAGGTAAACTAGAGAAACCTGCTATTCTCAGGTAAACTAGAGGAACCTGTTATTCTCAGGGAAACTAGAGAAACAGGTTATTCTTAGGTAAACTAGAGAAACCTGTTATGCTCAGGTAAACTAGAGGAACCTGTTATACTCAGGTAAACTAGAGAAACCTGTTATTCTCAGGTAAACAAGAGGAACCTGTTATACTCAAGTAAACTAGAGAAACCTGTTATACTCAGGTAAACTAGAGAAACCTATTATTCTCAGGTAAACAAGAGAAACCTATTATTCTCAGGTAAACTAGAGAAACCTATTATTCTCAGGTAAACTAGAGAAACCTGTTATTCTCAGATAAACTAGAGAAACCTATTATTCTCAGGTAAACTAGAGGAACCTATTATTCTCAGGTAAACAAGAGGAACCTGTTATTCTCAGGTAAACTAGAGGAACCTATTATTCTCAGGTAAACAAGAGGAACCTGTTATTCTCAGGTAAACTAGAGAAACCTGTTATTCTCAGGTAAACTAGTGAAACCTGTTATTCTCAGGGAAACTAGAGAAACAGGTTATTCTTAGGTAAACTAGAGAAACCTGTTATGCTCAGGTAAACTAGAGGAACCTGTTATGTTCAGGTAAACTAGAGAAACCTGTTATTCTCAGGTAAACTAGAGAAACCTTTAGGTAAACTAAAGAAACCTGTTATTCTCAGGTAAACTAGAGGAACCTGGTATTCTCAGGTAAACTGGAGAAACCTGTTATTCTCAAGTAACTTAAAGGCGACATTTTATAAATTCTTCCGATGTATTCTTTATTTACGGCTTAACTGTAAATAAAGAAAGTAAAAAATGAAATAAAAGAACAAATGAAAAAGAACAAATGAAACTATTAAAACTTTATAAAATCTAGGAGACAAAGTTCTGTGAAAAGTTTGGTGAGTTTGGCAGGTATAAGGAGGAAGAAAAGAAAGGATTCTGATTCTGTCAGGTGCTCATTCAAAAATAGAAAATCATCGTGAAATATTTAAATTATTATGAAGACGACTTGTTTTGCGGTTTTTGTAAAATTCTTGTGTAAAATTAGGATTTTTGAAAGAACTCTATAGCTAAAGGGTGTCCCACGAAACAAGACAGTTGAAACTACTTAAACATCGTCTTTAAATTTTGAAATAATTTGCAGAACTTTTCAATTTAGTTTTACATATTGAATAAAAAAAAAATATTAATCACAAAATTCTTGTACTCTTTGCATTTCAAAATGTGGTCTGCCTTTTTGAACTTTTAATTTTACCGGAGATATTATGAATTTTTTAAAGATTTTATTTAACTATCTCAAGATGTGACCAAAATTATTCTTATCATAATTTTGAAAGTCATGTTTTGTAGAACACCCTGTTTCTGTACGTAAGGTTATAAACTCCAACTGTATAAACTCGAAATTTACAAACAGAAGTCGTGAAATTTTCTTAAATAATAGGACTTGGAAAAGGAGGATTAATAGAAGTAGGGCCAATAATTGGATATAGGAACTGATTAATCTTTTTAAACTGTGATATTCTAATCCTTTGAAACCTTTCATATTTCAAACATTGAATATTTGATACAAAAAGGTCTACAATATCGGGTTGCAAAGATGCTGGGCTTTGAAAATTAGAGTTGGAGGCTAGCAATCAGTTCCGTTTAGTAATTTGTTACACAATAATCTTTAACCGATAGTTCCGTCAATTTACATTTAAATTCCGACAAAAGTATAATAATAATACAATGTCGCGGTCGCTACAACTTCATAGTTAGTTGTCAATGAATTTTCATGTTTAGTGAGTCACACTGTTTATAAATGTTCATTATTTAGTTGTACAGACAGTTGTACAACTGCGGAAAGTGGACGTGATGTACTGCAGGTACAACTGTACAGCTATATTTAGCAATGTTTAGGCCATCCACAAACAGCTTATAGTACCTTGTATTTTTTTACACAAATATTTTATTAAATTAAACTCATAATGCTTTGAGTTTTTAACATTTAAAACTCATATGGTGCCCTGAGTTTTTCATATTAAACTCATGTAGTGCCTCGATTTTTTTACATTTTACGCTTTAAAATTTGTATTAAAATGGAACATTTGATAAATTTTTTGACTATTGATACATTTCTTTTGAGATTTTAATGTAAATGTTTCTTGGATATTTGCCTATATACAAAGATAATATATATATAGATACGCAGGGCTAGTATAATTTTGAGGTCTTGAGAAAAAGTGCAATCAGCATCATCTCTGTCGTACGCATGGCATTTTATCCTCTGGATTGTTGCTAATTTATCAATGTGTTTATGCGTGATAACACTAAATGCGTACTATAGTATCAACAATGCATACTGCATATTGTACTTAATGAAACAAATTAATCAATGCAAATAAAACTGAGGTAGGAATTTGACTAGACAAAGTTTAAATGTGCAAGTTGTACTGAATGGCATACGTAAATTAACAAAATTTAAATAAAAATTATGACTAAAAAGTACATCGAATCTAGGACAAAGTCCTAATATCGGACAGGATCCGGTCGAACAACACATCCCATTCAACACTATGGACGGTTGCTCCTGGCTCTTCATGGCTCACAACTGGCTCATCACCCCCTTCACCCCAAAAATCCCAAAAATAAAACTCCATTACTTTCCAAAGATGATCATCCTCGGTTTGGTGCGCTCAAAACTTCAATTGGATTGGTAAATAAAAAAGAAATGATTAATTTTATTGGTCAAACAGCTCCAGATAGCAACACTTGAACTATACAGGATGCAATACGCGTACTGTATGTTTATATATCACAAATGCGTATTTCCTACAGATTGCAGGAAAGGAATATAGAAAGTAATTAATTTGCTATAGATGTCTCTCGTTTCACTTTATCTCAGAGGTACAAAAATTAGTTGTCTGCTACAAGCAATTTAGGAAGGACTACATGCCAGCGTATCTACATATATATTACCTTTGCCTATATATTTGTTTTAAAAATGTTTGAAAAAACGAATTCTGCACATTTTATTGTTCTAATCATGTTTTATTTTGAAAGATATGAACTGAAAAAATACATTTTTTGTTTTAAGGAAATGGTTTCTTTCAAAAAAAGATTAAGCCGACGAATGAGTTCTATCCTGGATTTTTCCAAGCCTTCCTCCGACGGAAGACGACATTTAGATTCTGTACCTCATGTCAACAATGTGAAGTTTACGTAAGTATTTGGATATACTAATTTGGAATGGTTTATTAATAAATTAAAGATTCATATTCGTAATACGGAGAAAAAACTTAATTCTAATATTATTTTGCTGAAGGACACACTAATGATATTGAATGATATTTATAATAAAACTAGCCTTAGAGGGCGCTTTGCGCCCATCTTCTAAATTAATTGTGAACATGTCCTCTTTGTGTACATCGTAAAACAAAACAAAAATAATTCGCGAATTTTCACAAAAAATTTCGTGGATTTTCAAAATTTTAAAAAATTTAATGAAGATCGAATTTTGATGGAGACAAATATTTAAAATTTCAATCATTCATAAACCTTTCCTTGGGTTCCCTAGATGTCCCACAAAAAATTTGGGCCCGATCGGTTCAGCCGTTTTTACGTTTATTGGATACAAACAAACAAACAGACACCCAAACAGACAAGCCAAATTTATATATATAAATAAGCAAAAATTAAATTATAATAGGATTTTTCTAAAACATTTCATAATTTTCAAGAGACAAGAAAACTTTTAATGCAAAAGAAGTACAGGGTTTCCCAAAAAACATGGGAATTTAGTGACGAATTCAATATCGTCTTTGTTATGAATTAGCATTGTATTACCTAATTTCAAAAGACATGATATTATAATGTCTGCTAGAGTTTATTTTATGAGAAGTGTAAAAGACTGTAAAGATGTGCCTATAATGTCTCCGCAAGATGAACAGTGAAGACGGACAAGTTTACTCTGTTTGTATACAGCAATTTTCTTGGTTTACTAACATAGAGAATAGAATATATAGAGAGGAATTAAAAGAATCTCTCAGTATGAATTTTTTCAGTCCCTTTCAGCCTGAAATGGAGTTCAAAGTGTGCAAATCATGTAAATGTTCACAAATTATGTGCAGTAGAGTACATTAATACAGTATGTTCCCTAAACTATTCATTTCAATTTCAAATTTTTTAAACTGTTAAACTGTCATTTGATTTATAGTTATAACGGAAAATCATCGTTTGTAAAGTGGAAGGCATAGAGTCTATGTGAAATGATCAATGGTCAATTATGAAACCAGTCTAATTCATAATTACACAGGTTTGTGTGGAGTACGGGAATCGAACCCGTGAACACCAGCCTGGACACCAATCCAGTTACTGGCTGTGGACAAGTAATATAAAACGTTAATGTACAGGGTGTCCCAATAAACATGGGAATTCAGTGACGGATTCGATATCGTCTTTTTAAATAATTCTTTGATTTAGTATAGTGATACCTACTGAGAAAGTCGTAATCTGTAAGGGTTTCGTCTGCTATGTTCACAATTTGTTTGTTTATGTTTTGACTGCATAAGGGTGTACTTATTAAAACAAGAAAATTGGAGTATACAAACAGAGTAAACTTGTCCGTCTTCACTGTTTATCTTGCAAAGGCATTATAGACACGTCTTCGCAGTCTTTTACCCTTTTCATAAAATAAACTCTAGCAGACATGATAATATTATGGCTTTTGAAATTAGGTATTACAATGTTAATTCATAACAAAGACGATATCCAATTCGTCACTGAATTCCCATGTTTTTTGGGACACCCTGTAGGATAAGTGCCGAGGTTGATGATGACGGATTGGAAAATAATATATCCATCCCTAGACGGATTCAAAGGAAAGATATTCCTATATGCTGGTTAGATGAATCTCAAGTAAGACAAAAAGCTAAATAATTTATTTTCTTGGTGGTTAAAATTCTAATTACTTTTCGTTTTGTTTTGTTTTTCAGGTTGTTCAAACACGACGGTTAAATAAGAAAGCGAGGACGGATATATTCTCTAACCTTGTGGATACACTCTATAACAGACATCTAGCTAGGTATAGAATAGGACGGATATATTCTCCAACCTTGTGGATACACTCTACACCAGACATCTAGCTAGGTACAGAATAGGACAGATATATTCTCTAATAGTGGATACACTCTATACCAAAATTAGTTATGTCACTTAATCGGAAGGTTTGTTACTGCTGTGGATACACTGTATTCTAGGCATTTGGGTAGCGGTATAAAATATGACGGATATTTTCTTTTTTTTGTTATCTATTTTAAAGTGTTTTAAACATCTTTAATTTGGTATTTCTTACTCCTCGGCATCAGGTTTTTATTCTTCTTAAAGAACAAGAAAGGTTTATTAATCATAAATAATTTGTATTTAGATATATTATAATAATGTTTTATAAAGGAATTGAGTCTTTGCCACAAACTCAAATTTTGTAATTCCTATATCTTGGCAACCTTACGGTGTAGACTCTTGATATTTCAAACTTAGATTTTTTGATCTAACAGAATTCAAAGTTTGAAATATCCAAGGTCTACGACATTGGGTTGCGAAGATATAAGAATTAGAAAGTCAGGTTTTGTGGCAAAGACTCAATTCCTTTGATTTCCATATTTTTGTTGAAAGTTTTAAACAACTCTGTCTAGTATAACAGCGGAGTATTCTTGATCCTGACTGGATAACCTCTCTCCAAGAACCTCCCATTTGTCCAAGGTCGGATCATATATTTCAACGGTTCCATCTCCTCCTCGTCCTCCGATTACATACAGTTTCCCGTCATGGTTTACTACTCCAGGTCCCTCTCTGGGTAGGGTTAGAGAACAGGTTCTTCTCCATACACTCCCGTCCCAGCATTCAACTGTGTCCATCAGTTCTCTCATTCCTGCTCCTCCGATTAGGTAGATTTTATCTCCAAGTTGACCTACACCCGGCCGGAATCTGCTAATCCTATTCCCATCCTCTCCTTCTCCTGATCCTTCCCAACCCAACCAGAGATCCCGACTTGTGTCGTATAGTTTATCATTGTCTGACCCGTAAGCTACAGGTAGATATAAACGTGAACCTATCACTGAAGAGAAACTACCGTTGTGCCATGTTGGGAGGGAAGAGAGAGAATGCCAGGCCCATTGATCTTCGGGTTGGGTTAGATCAAGACACTCCGCTGTAAGAACAGAGAGTTGTGAATCTGATCCGCCCATAACGTAAAGTTTTCCGTCCAAGACCGCGCTAGCATGACACTTTCTTGCTGTGATCATACTGGGACCTTCCGACCATTCATTGGTTCTTACGTTAAATGTTACAAATCTATTTAAAGCTTTCAATACTCCAGCCCGTCCTACTCCTCCTGTTACTAGGAGAGTGTCTCCGTAGGACGCTAAACCTGCTCCGGAGAGTCCATATCTCATCTCTGGGATCTGAGTAAGTACGTTCCAACCCTCCTCTGGACGATCTAGGTCTAGATATTCAACATTACACGAATCGAATCCTACAGCAACTATAAACTTATTCAGCCCACGAGCTCTGGAGGATCCAGGCTCAGGGTTTAAATCTCTTTGTTTAACAATATTTTCCAAACATTCAGAGTCAGATTTTATCACTGCGTTGTCCTGTAACCTCCGAAGGCAGTCGGAGGACAAATTGTTTAATTTCACATGTTTGAAAAGTCTAGTCAGGTATTCTGCCCTATCCTCTGATTTATCACACCAAGCGAGGACAGACTCAACAATAGTTTCCTCGGAGGTTACGTAGATATTATCCAGAGATATTAGTTCTTCAACCTCTAGAAAGGTCAGCTCCATGAAGTCTTCCGTCCTACAAACATCCTCAAAGTTTCTCTGAGTTTTAATTTTTATTATGTTTAAATTATTTTTATTATTGTTATTCTTGTTTTTAAATTTAACCTTTGTCTGGAAGTAACTCAACATCAACTACAAATAAACAAAAAATTGTACTTTTAAGTAAAAAAAGTGCATTTGCTTTTTTACTCTTAATTTAAAAGGAACAGACGTTGAAAATTATCATTTTAAAGATATTTTTGTTTCCTAAAACTCCGGTTTGTCTGAGTTCAAACATTCGATGAAGAAACTCCCTGGAAGCATGATTTCCTCTGATCAAGGTTCGTTTAGGGGTTTCCATCCCGGTGCTCTAGGTTTCCTAAGTTTACAAGATTCTCCGGGTTTTCTACGTTTCTCCGGGTACTCACAGATCACTACTCATTCTAAACCTGGATCGGATCCAGGACAGGGGGAAAGTATAGGCTGGGGAAAGCACAGGTGGGTTACTTACAAGGAATCAGGGGAATACTTTTTTTTAAATATATGGGAGTGGGCATCTATTGACTCTAATAACTCTACAGGTGGGAATTTTCCCTAAAGTTTAAGCTGCATTAAATACTTGAGAAAGGAGTTCATTTGGACAATGGTTTGCTTGTCCGACTTCGCGCCCTTATTTCTAAAAGTCATCTTCAGGAAAAAAAAAACACATTTATTAGCTATTGTATATGATACATGGACATATTGTGTATGATACATTTGTACATATTGTATATGACACATGTACATGTTGTGTATGATACATTTGTACACATTGTATATGATACATGTACATATTGTGTATGATACCTGTACATATTGTATATGTTACATGTACATATTGTGCATGATACATGTATATATTGTATATGATACATGTACATATTGTATATAATTAGCATATTCTGTTGAAATATTATTTATAAAAAATTAAACGACTGAAAATGTATTGTTTACTAAATGTCTAATATTGCAGAAATAATTCATGATTACAGTACTTGGATTATAGACTATATAATATGTTGTAATATATTGTTTTATAAATGTTGGTTGTTTAGGTATATTTTAACTTTCCTGCGAGAAGAGGATTTTGTCAACATGAGTCAGGTTCAAATATTTTTAACTAGTGTTAAGTTGAAGACTACTTCTTAATTTAGTGTTTACATGAAGACGACTTCTGAATTTAGTGTTTATATGAAGACGACCTGTTAATCTAGTGATAGATGAAGAGAACTTGTTAAATTAGTGTTCAGACAAAGAAAACTTCTTGATTTAAAGTTTATAGATGAAGACGACCTCTTACAATAGTGTTTAATTGAAGACGACTTCTTAATTTAGTGCGTAGAAGAAGATGACTTCTTAAATAAGTGTTTAGTTCTCAGAGTTTAGATGAAGACGACTTCTTGATTTAAGGGTTAGATGAAGAAGATCTCTGAAACTGGTGTTTAATTGAAGACGACCTGTTAATCTAGTGTTTAGATGAATACGACTACTTAATTAACTGTTTAGAAGAAGATGACCTGTTAAACTATTGTTTAGATAAAGCACCTTCTAAATTTATTGATTAAATGAAAAAGACTTCTTCATTTAATTTTTAGATGAAAACGACCTCTGAAACTGGTGTGAATGTGAAGACGACATTTTGTCTAGGTTTGTGATACCTGGCAGGAGTTTATGTACGGGACAGTACACAAGATATTATTCAACAGAAAGTACTAATTCACAATATTGAAGAACAACAAAACTTACAAATTAAAGGGACTGTAAGCGTAATTTCAAGTGACCCTCCATGCGAAGATGGCAATGCTCTATTAAAATGTGTACCTTAAAAACTTTGTCTGATTAAGTATAAATTTGATATCTATGTTATTATTTTTGAAAACTGTTTATTTTTAATTGGGGATTCTCTACAAAAGTGACTAGTGCCTTTCTATTTTTGAAAACATTTTAGATATCAGAAATATACACATTTAAACCTCGAGAAACGACAATATCTTACATGTCATTAATCAATAAATATTTTAATATGGTACCGTTAAGAAAATCGGCCATTGCCAGCTTTGCATGGAAGGTCATTCGAAATTACGCTTACACGAACGTTCCTTTTAAGGAAGAAGACCTTTCAATTAGTAATTTAAAGAGTTCAAGGTCGTCATTAAACCCGCATTCGTTGTAAATATCCCTGTGTGTTGAATTAAAAGTAAGTTCAGTACCATGAAGAATGAGACTTAAGACGTGATTGTTCGGAATTTATTGAGTTTATTTTTTAAATTCCTGGTACCCTGAGATTAGATGAAAACTTTCACATTTCATTAAAAATTTTAACAATTTAATTGCGAACATAAGTCCAAATTCTAACTTTACATCGTAATATTAAAAAAGAGTTTTAGGTCGTCCTCTCATCTTTCGTACTTTGACTGTGATTTTTTCTATTTCAAAAAGGAAAAATTAAATTAATTAAATGTTTTGTAGTTTTGATGAAATAGTGTCAAATGCATTTAATTTGATGTAAGTGTTCAATAATCATATCTAAATATAGTTCAACTTTCTACCCTTTACTTTTAGCATCAATTATGTTCTAAACTGTAATATAAAAATGTTCAAAGAATAAATATAGATAAATACATCATTTCAGAGCTAAAACAATTGATACAGATAACTTTGCGAAAGAAAATAAATAAAAGTAGTAGAAGAAACAAAATTAAAGTTTAGACTTGAATTCAACAGAAATAAAATACCTTCACGAACAAAAGTCTTTGAGTGAAAGCATCCTAAAAGTCCGAGATATTCAAAGTTCTGTCACTTTTTATAAAGTTTTCCCCTACACAGACTGCTACAGAAAGTTGCATGATTTTTCAAGACTGGATCGACGTTGAAGTGTTGCAAATCCTCGCTTATAATTATTCACACTTTTTTGTAGCCCTAGACAAGTACATTTTAGAACTGTTTTCTCAAGTTGGTTTCTGGAGAGATAGGTCGGAATGTATCCGGATATATTTGTCACTGACTGCTGCAGGTTCGGAAGGAACTTATTCTCTTCCTTCTCTCCCTGGTTTTCGGCTTCATTTTTTTAAGAAGTTATAAACAGACTTCTCATCAAACCTTTGAATGAGAGCTATAATACCTATGGATCAAGTCGTAAGAACACTATTCATGTTTCCCGATTTTGTTGCTAAATTTAGATCTTTCTTCCAAATGCTTTTTTAATTGTGTCCGTCAGAAGAATGAATATACGAAATATAAAAATTTATTTAATCAAATAAATAGGTTTATTTACAAGTTTTATTAGTTAACTTTTCTGTGACAATAAGCATGCATGATACAGTTTTCCTAGATGATCTTAACAGAGATTGGAGTTCATTTTACATTAACTGCACTTAAATATAGTATTTTTAACTTTATTTAAGTGAAGCAAACATTTTGAAGCAGTTAATAAGAATAAGAAATTGAGAGAAATCAATAAAACTATTTTGAATTGAAGAGGATAACAAAATCGACTTTTGTTTTGGTTTAAATGGAGTAAATACTGTATTAAGCGTAGTTAAAAGGACTTTTGGCGTTATTTTACATCTAAAAAGGTACATGCCCATGTACGGTACCCTTTTAACCGAAGTCCTAGTAAGAATTATGGACATTTTCTTGCTTTTTTATCTGAAAACCATAGTAAAAAATAACTACGCCCTAATTTTCAGGTATTCAAGTATTCAAGTATTCAAGTATTTAAGTATTCAAGTATTCAAGTATTCTAGTATTCAAGTATTCTAGTATTCAAGTATTCATTCAAGTATTCAAGTATTCAAGTATTCAAGTATGCAAGTATGCAAGTATTCAAGTATTCAAGTATTCAAGTATTCAAGTATTCAAGTATTCAAGTATTCAATTATTCAAGTATTCAAGTATTCAAGTATTCAAGGCCATTTTATAATATAAATGAAGACACAAGTACAAAATTTACAGCAGTTTAAAACAATATCTTGGTTCACAGAGAATTTATGAGTATTTTTAATCTTTACATGGATAACAACATTCTACTTTAATCCTTTTCTGTTGTTAGAGGTTGCAACATTCTATTTAACTCTTTCAGTAAACAGTGAGCAAAAACTCAGAAATAAGGGATAACGTTCTTTTCTAAACATTTAAATCACACTCATGTTAAATAAACTTCATTTTCAGAATAAAAATCTTTAAATGAGACATTTAAATAGAGCAACTCTAAAATCTGAATGGTTGTATAAAGTAAAGGAATTACTATTTTGCACTTGCAAGTTTATATTTATAAAAATTTAGGTCAGATTTTAATAAAAGACTCTTAGCTTTGACAACAAACTTTTGTCATTGACCGCTCATAAGCGCCCTTTTTACAAAACGTTTTTTTAATACAGAGGGTTGACCAGAAAGGATGAGACTTCAGAAAGGTTTTCCGGAATTCATGTCTTACATAATTAATAGTAATTACATCCACTTCTTTGCGAATTAGATAACTAATTGTATGATTTAATTTGTGACAAAAAAAAGGAAAATTCAATCCCCAGTTCATAATTATTAAAAAGTGCTAGGTCGTCTTTAAAGGCTCGTACGGTGAATGGATAAATTGTAAACCATTTCCATTTCCATTGCACAGAATAAACCAGTCATGTACTATATATGTATACGTTTAAACCATTTATAGGTACATTGTATGATATATATCTGAACCATGTGGATACAAGATTTTAAAAAATCGGGTAAATACGACTCAGGTCCAAGCTGTCGTTGGGGCTTTTTTACAGTTTGGGCTTTTGGATTTAACTCTATCCCTGCTGGGGTACTTGAAAACCAGGTTTTAGGCCTAAAGGGAGGGCTTTGGGTATGTAAGAAAAGTCAGAAAATTTCAACAGCCTCAGACCAATACTTTTTGAGTTATGTAAAAAAAACTACAGGGGGGGTCAAATTGCCCCCCCCCCAGCAGGAATAGGGTTAAGTTGCATCTAATTTTCTATAAAAAGTTAAGTTCATAAAACCGGTTTATTATTGTATTTGGCGGATTTTCATAATTGGAATTGGCGCATTCCGGGTTTTGATGAGAACAAGGCTCAACATTGAGCCTTATTCTCTATTAAAACCAACCAAGATATCATTCTGAAAGCTGTCAATCACGTTATACAAGCTAGCTGTCGTCAGAGTTGGGTCTTAGATTGGGTTTATTAGCTGGGTTAAGAAATTAAGACCCGAGCCGAAGCTTTTAAATCGCGGGCTCTGAGCAACTTGTTTCACGTTAGACTAAATTAAATTGTACTTAAGATTGAAATCTTTTATGTTTTCAATCATAACTCCTCTTTTTGGGGAGCTCTATTGAGAAGAACAAAAATGTTCTGCAGTTCTATATTGTAAAGGAAGAATTTGCTTCTCTCTTACTTGGGGGTAAACTCAAAACTAGAGGAGCTCCGGTCAGTCTAGTTTGCATGGGTTTAAACCATGTGTAATATCTCTGTACAACTATTAGTTTTCTCAAGTTGGTTTCTGGAGAGATATGTCGGAATGTATCCGGATATATTTGTCACTGACTGCTGCAGGTTCGGAAGGAACTTATTCTCTTCCTTCTCCTCCTCCTCCTCTTCCTCCTCCTCGTTCTCCATCTCATCCCTCTCCTTCTGGCTTCTGCAGTCCATGTGAACTTTATAAACTGAGTTGAAAGCTGAGTAGTCAATCTTGTATTCAGATTTAGAATGTTTAAAGTTCAATAAACTCACAAATCTATACCCCCATAGTACTTCGTTAGGCAAGTAGGAAGATCTGGCCTGAAATTATATCTGTTAAAGGGAGTGACCGGCTATGTAAGGTAGTTGAACTGAGTATGCAGTGGTGTGGAAAACTTCTTTCGGATTCATTTGAGACATATTAAACTTTTTAAAGATCTTTAAATCCTGAGTTTGAGCGCAAATTCGACGTTCAAAACTCCTACTTTGGGGGTGGATACGTTTTCAGAATTATTTTTTTAAAATTATTAAATAACGAAAACGAAAAATAAAGTAAAAATTATACAGTAATCTAATTAAATGGTTAGGAACATATATTTCTCAATAGAAATTTGTTAATAAATCAATGCTAAAATCAATTATTTCGTTTTCATTATTATATTGAATTTCTTATTTTCTTTGAATTTATTTGCAGATTTCTTCAAATTCTCCAAATGTCGTCTTTCCAATAATAATTCTAGAAAATCTGCAGAAAATCTTTGTGAATAATGAGAAACCAAATAATGAGAATAAAACTAATAATTGATGATAAGATTAATTTTCATTTTCTCAAAACGTTCCTATACATGACGTCTGTAGTTTATTGTAGAACTTTATTTAATTAAAAAAAACTAAATCTGAAACCGTATCGACTCCCAAAGTAGGAGTTTTGAACATCGACTTTGCGCTCAAACTCAGGATTTACAGATCTTTAAAAAGTTTTAAATGTCTCAAATGAATCCGAAAGAAGATTTCCACAACACTGCATACTTTCAACTACCCTACATAGCCGGTCACTCCCTTTAAGTAATGTAAAAGGAAAAATGTAAAAGTAACTGTATAGAATAATAGCTCTGAAAGTAGTGTTTTTATTAGGCTGCAAAGAGGCTCAACAAAATCTGAGAAGTTTCACGAATTTTAAATATTCATGATAATTATATGTTTTTTTTACTATTTTTTGTTGTTTTATGAATCACGGGATCAAACATTGATCTCTATCTTATGCAGATCTACAGATTAATTTAAACCCTCTTCGATATCCTGTGTTGGTAATACCCTTCAGGATTAACTTAAACTGAAAGATCAAGCATTGATCCTCTAATTCAAAAGTGCCCACAATGGATATCGAGATCAAGGGTTGAAGAGGTAGAACAAGAACTGAAAATGACCTGAATTGAATTTCCTGTCTGCTCTATAACCCCCTCTAGTATAACAACTATCTCGTATCTTTTCTTCAAAAAATCTCTGAAAAACAAAATTCTTTTTGAATATTTAATCATATAAAAGATTATTTATCAAAACTAAGAATGGCGGGAAAATCAAAACAACCAAAAGTTTACCTAAGCCATTACAAATTGCATTTTTGAAAATAAGATTTGATGATTTTCCTCAAGATTGGAAAAACAGAAAATGTATACAGAAAAGTTTAATATCTTTGTGCATTAAGATCTGAAATAGTTTCAGAGTCACAGTCTCACAAATTAGCGAAATCAAGAATTTTAAATATGCAACAAAGAATGTGATCAAACATTTTTTTCAATTCTTGCCTTTTTTAACCTTCATGCCATGTGATTTGTAAAAAAAACATTTTCTAAAGAACGTTGGGTGCTACAAACTTCATTCAGGGATTGGCAATACCTAAGTTTTTTTAGGCTACTTCGTCAACACTAAATTTCTAAAAGAAGCTTTTTTCATTATTGTGCTATATTATATAATTTCTAAAGAAACTGAGTTGGTCTGTGGCCCCTACAAATCTTCTAAACCTAAGAGCTTCTTATTCTTAATAAGAAAAATATACCTAGCGTTCATGCCATAAAAAGGACTATCCTCAGTTATTTTATGAACTACTGTAGTTGGCCATATAAAGAATAAACAGTCCTCTTCCCCTTCTAGATCCGTCCCAACCTCAACATAAGATTGCAATATTATCGCTCTGTTCTCCGTTCTCTGTTCTCTGTTCTCTGTTCTCTGTTCTCTGTTCTCTGTTCTCTGTTCTCTTTTCTTTGTCCTTTTTTCTCTGTTCTTTGTTCTCTGTTTTCTATTCTCTGTTCTCTGTTCTCTGTTCTCTGTTCTCTGTTCTCTGTTCTCTGTTCTCTGTTCACTGTTCTCTGTACGCTGTTCTATGTTCTTTGTTCTCTGTTCTCTGTACTCTGTTCTTTGTTCTCTGTTTTCTGTTCTCTGTTCTTTGTTCTTTTTCTCTGTTATTTGATCTCTGTTTTCTGTTCTCTGTTCTCTGTTCTCTGTTCTCTGTTCTCTGATCTTTGTTCTCTGTTCTCTGTTCACTGTTCTCTGTTCTCTGTTCACTGTTCTCTGTTCTCTGTTCTCTGTTCTCTTCTCTGTACCTTAAGTTCTGTTTGATGATATGGCATGACCTCTCCCTCCTCAGTGACTCGTTTACTGATCATAATAGCTCTAATATGAGCTTCTACAAGGGTTGAATGACGCATATTGCCAACTCTAAAAAAAAAAAATGAAAAAATAAAGAACCAGGTTGTTCACATAACTAAAATATAAAATATATAACAGTAATATCCTAGATTTTGAAGTTCAGAGAATAAATAACCAAATCTCATTACACAAAAATATTTCTAAGGGTTAGACACTGTGTATGTTACATAAAAGAAATTCAAATGCAATTTACTTAGTTTGACGTGCATAATATTTATTACTTTTATGTCAAAATCATCACCAAGATATGCTTATCTGGAACATTCGAAAAATATTGATAAAATTTATGGACTTTTCAATTTAGGTCGTTTTAGACAAAAACTCAGGCTGCTCCATCCTTCGAACAGTACTACAGAGCTCTAGTTCTAACCGCTCACTTGAAGAGAAGACAAGCTGCTCCATCCTTCTGATAAAAATAGAGTTCTAACTACTCACCTAAAGAGAAGGCAAGCTGCTCCATCCCTCTGATAAATTATAGAGTTCTAACTGCTCACCTAAAGAGAAGGCAAGCTGCTCCATCCCTCTGACAAACTACAGCGTTTTTACTGAACATCAAGGTCTGAGATCTCTTCTTGGGACGGGACAGTTTACTGAAAAAGATGAAAAATTAAGATTTATATCAATCGATCAAAAAATTGAATTAAGAACTTAAAATATGTTAATTTTATTATTTTTTTCAACATTGTTGTCATTAATATCATTCTTGTTGTCATCATCATTGTTATTATTAATATTATTATTAATTATTATTATTGTTATTATTATTATTATTATTATTATTATTACTATTATTATTATGATTATTATTATTATTATTATTATTATTGTCATGACATACCTGAATATAATCCCAACCATACAAGCTTGAATCATCACCCCAACTATAGACTTAAACAAAATATTTCTCGTCAACAAACTCAGAAAAAGTTCAGACTTCTTATTCAAAATAATTCATCATTTCGGAAAAGTTTTCAAAAAATGAATATTTTTGTTCCTGAAAGCTCATGACAAATATTGCCTCTGGACACTCCTCGGAGGTCTGTCTTCCACCATAACCTAGATATTGCAGTATTTTATTTTTTTTTATTATTTGACCTATACCCTAGCCATAGAGTAATAAAACGAAGAGGTAAAGCTTAGCTCAGATGTACACTATTTACGAATGCGTCGAAAAATAATCGATGACTATTGTTTGTAATATCTGAATGATTTGTTTTGAATTAAATTGATTTGTTTACGATCCGAGTTGAATGTTACATCTTTCTAAATTTGTATGGACACTACGTTCTTCGGTATTAGTCGTTTTTAACAATTTTCTCCTTATAGACGCAACAGATAGAAGTAAGATTAGTAGCAATCAAAAGCGCTTTTTTATCGCATTAAGCCTATACCCCTTTTCATTTTCACGAACACTCCCTTTAAGCTATCTCCACATATGTTTACAGCGTAATTTAAGTATATCGCATGATTTAATCTAATCGTGCTACGTATTCAATTGAAACTTAGTTTCAATAAAGAATGACATTATGTCTACAACATAAATTGTTAATGTTCTGCAGGTTTACAGAATATCATGTTTGCACGATATTTGCTACAGTCCTACCCTGACCTATGTAACCTATGCCCTAGCTATGTTGACCTACCCTGACCTACACCCTAGCTATGACCTATACCCTATGTGACCTATGTTGACCTACCCTGACCTATGTGACCTATACCCTAGCTATCACCTATGCCCTAATGTGACCTATGTTGACCTACCTATTGTATGTTGTGTCTCTACACTGAATAAGAATACTGAGGCGAAGTTATTAATTTGCCAGACACAAGGAACCCATCCAACCTTCTCCTGGTTTGCTGGCAGGTGATCAGGCTCCAGGTCTCCATGGTAGTACACGATAGCATACCAAACTAAACAATATCCTTTAAAGGACTGCTTCTGATAACCCAAATGCCCTTGGTAATCTTTTTCTAAACCATGACTTTTAATTCTCCCATTCCCCCTCCCCCCTGCATAGGTAAACTTATTTAGGGCGGTCATTAGTACTTTAGGAAGGTCATTGGTACTTTATGGTGGTCATTGGTACTTTAAGGTCGTCTTTGGTACTTCAGGGTGGTCAATGTTACTTTAGGGAAGTCCTTTGTATTTGAGGGAGGTCATTGTAACTTTAGGGTGGTCATTTGTATTTGAGGGAGGTCATTGTAACTTTAGGGTGGTCATTTGTACTTTAGGAATTCCTTTGTATTTTAGGGAGGTCATTGGTAATTTAGGGTGGTCATTGGTTATTTAGTTAGACAACATGCACCATGCACATCGTATATTTTTTTAATCTGAAAGGATAAGAGGACAAACAAGAATTTCAAGAAAAAAAATCAATTAGTTAAATTAAATTCTCTAACTTCTCAATACCTAGTCTCAATCTAATTTTTAAGTTTAAGTAAGTCTTTGAAATCCATATTCTTAAAAGAAAACTAAATTAGTTTTTGAAATTTTCGGAAATTCAGTTTTAAAATATTTTTCAACTGTCAGGGGGAAAAAATTCAGAAACCTTGTTTCTAGTTTCAGAAACCTGGTTTCTAGTTTCAGAAACCTGGTTTCTAGTTTCAGAGACCTGGTTTCTAGTTTAAGAAACCTGGTTTCTAGTTTCAGAAACCTTGTTTCTAGTTTCAGAAACCTGGTTTCTAGTTTCAGAAACCTGGTTTCTAGTTTCAGAAACCTGGTTTTATAACCAAAATTTTACTCTTAAAATATTCCTCCGAACGTAAATAGGCTAGGAAATGCATAGAACTATGAAAAGTAACTTAAATTGCCTTGAATTATATTTTTGCAACCTAAAACTCAGTTTTCTGGTTTTGATTTTATGGTTTTTAAGCTTTTGAACCTCAGTTTTTGATTTGTCTTATTCTTCAGATTCGCAATTCTTAACCCTATATAATTCTAATTTTGAAATTAAATATTTATTGTTCTGCTAATACCCCTAAAAACCTGGTGACCTACCTAAAGCAAAAGCAAGCCAGGAGAGGAAAAAACTAAGAAGAAACAGGATATGAACATACCTAGATATAAGTTATATATGATTAATTTTGAATATACTGTTAAGGTAAAAATAGGATAGTGGGACTAAAATTGATTAAAATTTCAAAGTTGTCGCAGTGGATATAGAGATCAAGCAGATTAGCGTTATTTCACAAAATAAATGTTCAACTCAGGTTTATAATACAGATTAAAATCAAAATTGTGTACATTTTCAATATCTCCAATTCTTATGTAATTTTAAACATTCATTAGACATCAGTGAAATAGGGTTAGTTTTACGAAAAAATAAATTTTAAGCTTAATAGAATACGTGTCCTATTGGATTCGTGTTATTATTATTATTATTATTATTATTATTATTATTATTATTATTATTATTATTATTAACCCCAGTGTCAAATAATACTCCCCCCACTCCAGGCTACTCTTGATACTTAAAAATTGCAAGGTTGTTGAACTCTGAAACACCTATCTCCGGTTTTTGCAATGTTGCAAATTAACAAAAATGCATTTTTCATTATTAAAATCGCGCAACCTCGAGTTCAAACAAAATCTCAAACATCTCTTTCCTTGTTTCCTTGTTCTACAGAGTGTGTATTTGTAATTAATCGTTTTTTGAAAATGTGTTGACAAGCTTTGTTTGTTTTGATTTTGACCTGTTTATGTTTGTTTCTGAAACTGTTTAAATATATAATCAATGATCTTTCGGGCTTCAAATGGTTTTTTTATCTTTTGGAATTCGAGAATTCGGGAATTCTTAAATGATCGAAAAAACTATTTCTAAATAGTCCGGTCCGGAAATAAATAGTTAAAGTTGAACCTATTTACTAACAATCAGTCAAAAGTAGCATCTTGTAGAAATGTTTCATTTAGTTTCCAGGCCAGAACGGGGAAATTAAGAGAATGTTTATGGACAAAACCCGGTTTGGAAACTCAAGTTTATCCTTAGAGGTGTAAAAGCTGTTTAGATTTTTAAATATTTGGAACCTTTTTGAAACTTTTGTTTTTCCAACATTAATATTTCCTCGTTTTGAGACTATTCTCTTCCTGGGTTTGGTTTACAATTCAAATTAATATTTATATAGAGAAGAACTGGATTGAATTGCAAAAGGTCGCTGAACTAACTACAGCCGGTTTAAATCCTGAATCACTGATTCAAATGTTCATGAATCTATAACTTTGAATCAAGATTTTAACCTGTCTAACCTAGTGCTTAACTTCTTTGGTCGAGCTGTATTGTTTTGCGTATAAAAAAGTTTTGCCTTGTCTTTACATTTCAGTCAAAGCATATTTGATAAAATCCATGCAACCAATTCACATTTAGGGAAAATAAAATATTCTTAATCTTTTCAATCTTAAAAAACTACATCGCAGACCCCCCCCCCCCAACCCTGAAAAGTTTTTAGCTTGTTTTACCCCATGAATATTTGAGTTAAAACACTCATTATTCCTTTTTAGGACAAAAACGCTGAAAGTAATCCGAGAACTCTGAAATTGGAGGAAAACAGTTAAATTCTACATTTTTACCGGAGGCTTTCATTTATTAAAGGGACTGAGAGTGTAATTTAAAGTGTCCCCGATTTACAATGGTCCCTTTTAACTTAATCTGATCATAGATGTGGAAGATAACGTGGTTTGACTGAGAAGTGTTTTTTCTGTGAATTTTTACTTTTTTTTCTTTAAATAAAGAAATGCGCCAAGTCACTTTTGCTATGATACCTAAAACACCATAGTTTTAGTAGAAGTAAATATTTCCATTTACTGTTATAGCGCCGATAGAAGGATTATTCTCTAAGTGGATAATGAGCTAGATAGAAAGATAGATGTTACCGCCATAGTTTCAGTAGAAGTAAATATTTCCATTTACTGATAGCGCCGATTCATAAACCTAATTCGAAAATGAGATAGATGGAAAGATATATGTTACCGCCAAACTATTTCTATTGGTTCAGAATAGACACAAAACACATGGCTGAACCATGATTGGATCAGGCGCTAATGGACTCGGCATACTAGAGTGAAAATGAAGAAAAAAAACAGTTTAAAAAAAGCAAAAATTATATTTAATTTATACTTGATCAGACAAATCAAATCAAACATTGCCATATTTGCTATAGAGGGTCACTTGAGATTACACTTGCAATCCCTTTTAAAAAGGGAAAAGTTTTAATAGTGTTAACAATGAATCGACTTCAGTTTCACTATTCTCAAATAAATAAAAATTGAGGATTATGAATTGTATTTTACTTTCGCTGGATTTTTTCCACTCGGGCACCCCTCTTTCAAGATTTTAAAACTTTCTGCATAAGAGATACAGGAACGAATCACTTGTCCCAACCTGTCATTTTCTAATATCTATATCTTTGCAACAGTTTAGTTCGTAAACCTTTGAAATTTCAAACTTAGAAATGAAATAATTTGAAACAGAACAGGTTTACACCATCAGTTTGCAAAGATAAAATAGAATTTGAGGCGAATTATCAGTTCCTTTACCATTTCCAACTTGATGGGGGCCGTTGCGACAAATTAAACTTTCGGACGCCGAAAGGTATAAACTAACAGTGTGGAAAGGTTTGAATTGTATCCTGAGTTTCTCCGAGTGAGGTTCAATATTTAGAAAATTTTTTCCTTTTAATTCTTTCTTGACAAGATCACCAAGCCCAGGCCTAGATAATAATAACATCAACAAGTTTATTTTAAAAAAATTATGTCGATAAGAAAAATATTTAAGTACCATTTTAAAGATATATTAGGGGAGTGACTCATTATTGATGAATGTCTCAAATTTTCCTTTCCCTATATCTTTTCAACCTTATGATGTAAATTTTTGATATTTCAAACTTAGATTATTAGATCTAACAGATTTCATAGTTTTAAATATCTAAAGTCTACGACATTGGGTTGCAAAGATGAAGGTGTTAGAAAATCTGAGTTTGTGGCAAAGACTCAATTAATTATTTCTGAATGTCACAGGCTAAGATTACACACCATGGGTGGTTTACAAAAGGGGTTGTGCAGATCAAGGAACTCAAATAACTTTTATTTCTAAAAATATAATGAGAACCATGAAAACTGAAATAGGACTACGACGTTTAGAATTCAGTTGTGATTTTCATATTCCAATAAACATGGTTTATGGCTTAGACTAGAGGAATTTAATAATTCAATTTATGTTCTGTATCCTCCATTTATTCTCGCGATCACTCCCTTTTTTGATTGAATTAGTTTGAACCTACTTTGATAAGGAATTTTTTGAAGTGACTCTGTATCCCATACTACTCCCATCCATAGAACTCGTTCCGTCTGTTGAGAGATGACCCATCTCCGACTGCGTATCAGCAGGCCGGTCGATCTAGGTAGGAAACTTTTTAATTGACGGAATCCGTTAAACCCATTCTCGTTAGGCTATTTCTGATTTGTAAAATCTTCCAAGTTTGTGCAATGAAATATTGTTTAATTAGTTAATCTAAAACTTTTCAACTTTAGATAATTCCTTTATCCGGAAAAATATTATGCATGAAAAGTTTAAATAAAAGATTTTTAAGCTAAACAATTAAAAACAAAAGGACTGAACACTTTCTAGCTGGATTGGTGCAAAGTGATTAAATACTAAAGTGGGCCAAACTCATAGTTGGATGACGACATTTTATGTCCCAAGTATTTAAAAATAATATATTTATATATGTATTGAAATTTGCAATGGAAAAAATTCCGAGATTTGATCGTAACAACCCGAACAAAAAAAATCTCTTAAACAAATTTCTTTTCGAAGTTTTTTTAACACCTTTAAATTTTAGTGCACTTTCTTTAGTTTAGATACTTGTCTCTTGCTCCTCGATTTAAAGGGTTGTAAGTTGTAACTGGTATTATTTTTCAAAAACAGTGACAATGCAGAATTTAAGTAAATGTTGTAAGTTAACCAAATAAAATTAACGTTCTCATTTGTAAATGCTTAATCAAGAGATCCCGAGATTCTCAACACTAAAAGTTAAGGTCTTAGATTCCCAGGCTGTTTTTTGATTTAGTATTAATTATCTTTTTTGAAATAAATGCATAATTAATTATGTGTACATCTATTTATTTCAAGTAAAATCTAAATTTCCTTAATTGCTTTATCTGGTAATTTCCTTTTTCAAGATTTTGTTTTATTTTGCCATTCATTGCAGTTTTTTTCAAGATAAAATATGATACAGCGGTAGGCGATTATATCAACACAATGAAGACGGCTTTCGATTTAAATTTTGATTTAAATCAAGCTGTTGAACAGCATGGATACACATAAACATAGAAGTCAAGAGAATGTATAATCAAAATGGCTTCTTTTTAATTACTTGTAATTCGATCAAAACTTATATAAAAAAGTAGTTTTTATTGTATTGATATAATCGCTTACCAATGTATTTAATCAAATTATGTTAGACCAAAAGTTAAAAAATTAGAAAGTTAATTAATGTTTATTTACCATTATGTTTTTGTGTTTGAAATAAATCTATAATAACAAACTCAGAAAACACTAATCTGCAAAGAACTTCAACTTATCTATATATTTAACCTTTTTTAAAGGTATTTTTAAACAGAAAAAAAGTTCTCCTGGTTCTCCGACTCGAACATTTTTGAATCAGACATTGTTATTACCGGTGGGTTTTTATCTACCATTTAATGAAATAAGGGCTAAAGGGTATGTCATGATCTAAATTGAGACTCACACAGATTTTCTTTAACTACAGTAACTGAAGATGCTAAAGTAATAAAAGCCATGCAATGAAGAACATTTCCATTTTCTTTTTTTCTAATTAAATATCGTATTGACTCAGTCTGTTTTAAATACAGCATATTTAAAAAAGTATTTTAGAAGTATCTTGTCAGTTTCAATTTTCTTAAAACTAAAAAACGTCAAAAAATGCGGGAAATTCTAATCCGGGAAATTATGTTAAAGAAAAACAGTTCTAACCCTGGAATCCGTACAACTCTCTGTTGGAGCCTGAAAAGTAACACTTGGGACTTTACGTTGATACTTGTTGAAAAAGAACCTGTTGGTCCATTTTTGTAATTGGTTGAAATTAACAGATGTTACTGGAGTGATATGTATTGGATGCAGATACACAATTTACAACTCCTGAGGCCGAATTTAATGAATTTGAACCGCGTCCTGAACTACCAATCACCGGTTCAAATTGCGTGCTGACTCTCATCTCGAAACACTGATTTAAATTTCAAGTTGATCAGAACATGTTTTAACCGCGTTTAATATTTGAACCTCGTCTAGGCACGGTTCAAATTATCTAAATTCAGCCTCTGGTCTTATACAAATGTGGGCTGAGCTAAAAATTAAGTAAAAGTTACATTTAATAAAATTAAATTCTGAGAAAAGTTAGTATCTCAATAATTTTTGAAAACTTGATTTCATCGTCCTATCCCCCCCCCCCCGTCCCTCCTTATTTTTTGTACTTAATCTACTAAGAATTTTAATGTTCCAGTCCTAAACATGTTCTGTAGTAAATTCTTTAGAAAGGCTGGCAGTGAGACAAACAGATTTTAATGCGTTGTTCCTTAATGTCAGAAGTGTTTTTATTCTTCATGTTTTCAATTAGTTCCTTCGTTTTCCTCTTTTAACATTTTTAATCCGAAACATTCAACTTACCTTACCTTACCTTACTTTTAATCCTACACACTCTAACCTTAATACTTTTAATCCTACACATTCTAACCTTTATACTTTTAATTCTACACATTCTAACCTTTATACTTTTAATCCTACTCATTCTAACCTTAATACTTTTAATCCTACACATTCTAACCTTAATACCTTTTATTCTACACATTTTAACCTGTATACTTTTAATCCTACACACTCTAACCTTAATACTTTTAATTCTACACATTCTAACCTTTATACTTTTAATCCTACACATTCTAACCATTTTACTTTTAATCCTACACATTCTAACCTTTATACTTTTAATTCTACACATTCTAACCTTTATACTTTTAATCCTACACATTCTAACCATTTTACTTTTAATCCTACACATTCTAACCTTTATACTTTTAATTCTACACATTCTAACCTTTATACTTTTAATCCTACACATTCTAACCTTTATACTTTTAATTCTACACATTCTTACCTTTACACTTTTAGTCCTACACATTCTAACTTTTATACTTTTAATCCTACTCATTCTAATATTTACACTTTTAATACTACACATTCTAACTTTTATACTTTTAATCATTCACATTCTAACCGTTATACTTTTCACCCTGCACATTCTAACCATTATACTTTTAATCCTACACATTCTAACCATTATACTTTTAATCCTACACATTCTAATATTTACACTTTTAATCCTACACATTCTAATATTTACACTTTTAATCCTACACATTCTAATATTTATACTTTTAATCCTACTCATTCTAATATTTACAATTTTAATCCTACACATTCTAACTTTTATACTTTTAATCCTACACATTCTAACCTTTACACTTTTAATCCTACTCATTCTAATATTTACACTTTTAATCCTACACATTCTAACTTTTATACTTATAATCCTACACACTCTAACCTTAATACTTTTAATCCTACACATTCTAACTTTTATACTTTTAATCATTCACATTCTAACCATTAATCCTAAACATTCTAATATTTACACTTTTAATCCTACACATTCTAATATTTACACTTTTAATCCTACACATTCTAACCTGTATAATTTAAATCAAATACATTTAACATCTAATATTAAATTTAAACATTAGTTTTAGATTGTGCTGGCAAAGTCAGCTAATCCTGCAGGTGTTTTGTGGACAGTTCTAAGTGTTTTTGTAATAGAAAACTTATATTTACAAATAGTTTAGTCACATTTGTTCTAGAATATTGCTTAAAGGGACTAAAAAAGTAATTAAAAGTGACTCTCCATTGATAAGGTAACATGTCTGATTCACAACGGTAACCCTAAAAGCTATGTCTGATCTAGAATGCATTAGATATCAATGTTTTTGTTTTGGAAAACTGTTCATTTTCTTTTGTGTGTTTCTCTTCTAGCGCATTTCTTGCTTCAGAAACATTAGAGAAATCATTAGAATTCAACACTTTCTACGCTTACCTATATTATTGATTAGATTGCAGTTTTAAAGGTATCCTTGTAAATCGGACATGAACCCTCTATGTAAGTAGGTTAACTTGAAATCACGTTTATTGTTCGTTCTTGATTAAATATGTTACCTTGATATGTTTGATACCACCCTTGCCATCGTCCACAGTAACCAGGGTTGGACCCTCCTCGTCATCATCAGATTCTCCCTGGTAAACAACTCAATCCTTAACCCTAAAAGGGGGGGGGGGTGTTGGACCCCCTTTAGTGTTTTTGCCCCAGTACTTTAATTTTTGACACAATCACAAAAGGATTTTTATAATTCTTTTTATGCATAGAGTAGAATACCCGACTGGCACTCTACCCTATGCATAAAAAAGTGATTTAAAAAAACTAAATAACCCGTTACATTTTTGTGACTAAAGCTACTTTTGTGACTAAAAAAAAGGACAATACCACCATTTTTTAAGGACTGATGAGGATATGAAATATATCGAAATTAATTTCCAAACCCGAGTTTTTCTACCTGTGAGAGTGAAACCTTTTTTTGCCAGTTTGGACAATTTACATAAAAAAAGGATTAATGAATGAAACCAGGATTAACTCAGGATTAACTATAAATGAATCCAGGATTATGTCAGGATTAACTATGAATAAAGTCAGGAATAAGCTAGGATTGACTTTAAATGAATTCAGGATTTAGTCAGAATTAACAATGAATAAAGTCAGGATTAAGTTCCTCCGGATCTAATTCTCCCTCCCATTCATAAGGTCGGTTCGTTTCTTTTTTCCACCACAACATTCTGAAAATGTTTAAAGATTATTAATTTAACCTTAATTCTAAAACTGATCTTGGAACTTTTGATATTTGTTTAGGTCCGACAGATTAAGGTAATTCTTTCTGGATATCTCTATCTATAGTTTAATGGGAGATCCCGAAATACAAGTCAGCTGTTTTTCAAGCATTAAGCATTACAACAGTTTCTACCTTTTAATTTTACCTAAATCAATAATCATGATGTCCCAAAGTTGTTGTTCCTTGTTCACTCTTCATCCAACACCGAGATTTAAAGCGATTAATAAAAACATTACCTGCGGTTTCGTTATCTCGCAGGTTTTAAACTTCCATAATTTCCGTCCCAACTCCGCTTGGTTCTAGCACACCATCCGTCCTTCCTCAGGTTCTCAATCAATCTTTGATATTTGCTTATCCCAATGTTTTTAAATCACTAACCCCGTCTTCGTGCTACATCCGACCACTTTCTTTTTCGTCCTTGCTCCGTATTCGTCCTTGCCTCTTCTGCGTTCTAACTCCAAACCCGTCCTGGCTCCGACTCTATTCTAATTTGTGATTAGAAATCGGTCACTCTACATATTTATTAATCTGCATGCAATATAATAAAATTGTTAACTAAACTCTGAAAAGCTGAAACTAATTCAGACCCTGAACATTAATCTGATCCTGGTTCTCTTATGACTAGCAAGAAAGCACTGTCTGTGCATAGGGTTTAGAACATAGATATCAATGATAGTGCATTTGAATATGTGTAACTACCCCAAATCCTGGTCTATAACCGAGTATGAAAAATAAAAATACTGAATAAAAAAGTACTCATAGTATTGTTAGTAAGTTATATATAAAAGAAATGCGATTTTGTAGTATTTTTAGGATCAGCAAAACGTGTCGAATTCTAACCTTTTTTTGAAAACATGAACAAAAGTACGAAGCCCAAGAAAACTACAATATCTTTATCTTGTGTCCTATCTGTTTAATCTACGTTAAAGTCACTTTATGAAAATGAGCATGTAATTGTAATTTGTAACCGGAGATTTTATTTGAATTCAACTTAAACTATTAAAAATCTAGATTTGGGTCTGGTGGAAAATATTCGTGTTAAAAGATCGAATCTAGGAATGGATTAAATGATTAGATACACCCCTGTTTAGGAAAGTGATCCCAATATTGATAAAAGAGAGATAAAATATAAACACTCCTAGAATTAAAGGGACCCTTCGTGAAAATTTACAACGAAACTCCTGAAACCTTTATCAGATTAGATTATCTTCGGATCTAATCTAATTCCTGTAGTAGAATTGCGCAAGTCCCTTTTGAAGAGAAACCCAAATTAATGATAATCAGTTTTCACAATTATAAACATTAACCCTTTAACCCTCAACAAGAGAAAAAAAACTGAAAGAGAACTTTCCAGAGAAATATGTAGGAAAAAGAGCTGAATACATATCAGCGGTATAGGAACATGAAGATAGATTAGTCTTGTAAAAAACATTTTGAAGAAAATATATTTCAGTTCTTAATTTCAGACAAATCAACAAATATTCAGACATATAGACCAATTAAATTCTAGAAAATATTATTTAATTAAATTCAGATTTTATTTTCATAACAGGACATATTTTGAAGTAAACTGTTTAAATTTGATCGACTTTTTTTTGCCAACACAGCATTTTTTCACCCCTTTACTCGACTTCTCACATCACAGAAGAAAAAAATACTAATGTGGAAAGCAAAAATCAGATATTTAATGGGTCAGTCATTTTTCAATTGTAATCCCGGACAATGTTAAAGGGGGTTTAAAATACACATAAATAAAAACTGATTGCCCGAAATTTCTTTTTTGACAACAATAATGTTACATTTAAAGCTGGATGATGATTTATATCAGTTTTCATATTTGGATCAGGATTTATATGTAATCTTAATTTGTTTTTATAAATCTACATTGTAATGTAACCCTTTACAATTTAATTAAAAAATGGTTTTTTTTCTTTTTTTGTACAATTACACTTAAAAAGACAACAACAAAAAAGGAAATGTTTTGATAAAATAGAGTTGTTTTCCAAAGCTTATGTTTCGGACAAAAACAATCAGCTAAATACCGGAATACATGTTTTTTAATTAAAAAAAACTAAAATTCCTTTCAATTGCTGATTTTAACGAAAGGAATATTTTGCAAAAATAAAAGAAACTAGTAAAAATGAAGAAACCATTGTCAAACTATTATTAATTTACACTTTTTGACAATATGTTAGGAAAAAAAATTGATATAAAATGTGTTCAACAGACCACCCTAACACGCTGGAAATAATTTCAGGAAGACATTCTTTTTTTCAAAACATTTTCTTTAGTGTTAAAAATGTAAGAGACATTTTTAATTCTAATTATAACAAATTTTCTTTACGGTCAGCTCTTTAAACAATAATTGAATTTGAAAAAAATTGGGAATAGTGAAATTAGTTAGTTCCGAAGCCACCCTTGAGATTTGAGAAATTTTTATACCACCGTTAAAATTACATTACCTTGATTACAAACATATTTGATACATTTACTATAAGTTACAAAATATATTCATGTAACACACTTATGAATATTCAGGCTGACCGCTGGGCGCTAACTGAAACACAATGAAGTTTGAAGGGTCTTCAGTCGGAGTATAAGTTTCAGGTTCGGGCGCGTTTAAAAATCTGAAATTTGCCAGTTTTTCACGGGGATATTCACATTCACTATACTACTAAACAGAAAACAAGGAAGTTTAAGATGTAATCAAACATTTTAATATATTACATATTACAGTAAAAGCACGGAGTAAGGAAAACAGACGAAAAAAAATAAAATAAAAATACTAAATGATATAAAGTGCTTTGGTTCGGTTAGAGATATTTTGGCTACTTTGGTTCTGTTAGAGATATCTTGATTACTGGTTCTATTAGAGATATTTTGGTTACTGGTTCTATTAGAGATATTTTGGTTACTGGTTCTATAAGAGATATCTTGGTTATTAGTTCTATTAGAGATATCTTGGTTATTGGTTCTATTAGAGATATCTTGATTACTGGTACTATTAGAGATATCTTGGCTACTGGTTCTATTAGAGATATCTTGGTTACTGGTTCTATTAGAGATATCTTGGTTATTGGTTCTGTTAGAGATATCTTGGTTACTGGTTCTATTAGAGATATCTTGGTTGCTTGTTCTTTTAGAGATATTTCGGTTACTTGTTCTTTTAGAGATATTTTGGTTACTGGTTCAATTAGAGATATCTTGGTTACTGGTTCTATTAGAGATATCATGGTTACTGTTTCTGTTAGAGATATCTTGGTTACTGGTTCTATTAGAGATATCTTGGTTACTGGTTCTATTAGAAGATCTTGTTTACTGTGGAACTTTTAAAGATATCTTGGATACTGGTTCTTTTAGAGATATCTTGGTTACTGTTTCTATTAGAGATATTTTGGTTACTGGTTCTAATAGAGATGTTTTGGTTACTGGTTCTTTTAGAGATATTTTGGTTACTGGTTTTAATAGAGATATTTTGGTTACTGGTTCTTTTAGAGATATTTTTGTCAATAGTTTTATTAGAGATATTTTGGTTACTGGTTCTATTAGAGATATTTTGATTACTGGTTCTAATAGAGATATTTTGGTTACTGGTTCTTTTGGAGATAATTTGGTTACTGGTTTTAGTAAAGATATTTTGGTTACTGGTTCTAATAGAGATATTTTGGTTACTGGTTCTTTTGGAGATAATTTGGTTACTGGTTTTAGTAAAGATATTTTGGTTACTGGTTCTTTTAGAGATATTTTTGTTACTGGTTCTATTAGAGATATTTTGGTTCCTGGTTCTATTACAGACAATTTGGTTACTGGTTCTATTAGAGATACTTTAGTTACTGGTTCTAATAGAGATATTTTGGTTACTGGTTCTATTAGAGATATTTTTGTTACTGGTTCTATTAGAAATATTTTGGTTACTGGTTCTAATAGAGATATTTTGGTTGCTGGTTCTAATAGAGATATTTTGGTTACTGGTTCTTTTAGAGATATTTTGGTTACTGGTTTTAGTAGAGATATTTTGGTTACTGGTTCTTTTCGAGATATTTTGGTTACTGGTTCTATTAGAGATATTTTTTTTACTGGTTTTAATAGAGATATTTTGGTTACTGGTTCTATTAGAGATATTTCGGTTACTGGTTTTATCAGAGATATCTTGGTGACTGGTTCTAATGGAGATATTTTGGTTACTGGTTCTTTTAGAGATATTTTGGTTACTGGTTCTTTTAGAGATATTTTTGTTATTGGTTCTAATAGAGATATTTTGGATACTGGTTCTATTAGAGATATTTTGGTTACTGGTTCTTTTAGAGGTATTTTGGTTACTGGTTTTAATAGAGATATTTTGGTTACTGGTTCTTTTAGAGATATTTTTGTCACTGGTTCTTTTAGAGATATTTTGATTACTGGTTCTATTAGAGATATTTTGCTTACTGGTTCTTTTAGAGATATTTTAGTTACTGGTTCTATTAGAGATATCTTGTTTACTGGTTCTATTAGAGATATTTTGGTTACTGGTTCTTTTAGAGATATTTTGGTTACTGGTTCTATTAGAGATATTTTGGTTACTGGTTCTATTAGAGATATTTTAGTTACTGGTTCTATTAGAGATATCTTGTTTACTGGTTCTTAGAGATATTTTGGTTACTGGTTCTTTTAGAGATATTTTGGTTACTGGTTCTATTAGAGATATTTTGGTTACTGGTTCTAATAGAGATATTTTGGTTACTGGTTCTATTGGAGATATTTTGGTTACTGGTTTGATTAAAGAAATCCTAGAAGATAAATAAGATCAAAATTATAAATTAGAAATGAATAATTACACTATTTTAGAAATAGTAAATATTTCCTTCATATCAAAGAAAGCAATTTAAATGAGTTGAGTCCAGAATAGAATATATAGAGAGGAATTTACTAGAAAAAAGTGTAAAATGGCCATTTTGTTGTACTGTTTCCATACTGCAGGTGTACTTCACATATTTATGCGATATAACCTGTTGGGCCCTGGAATATCATTTTATAGAAAATCTAAAATTATTGTTAAAAGAAAACCAAATTATGAAATAGGCTGGTTTCATAATTGACCAATGATCATTTCACATAGACTCTCTGCCTTCCACTTTACAAACGATGATTTTCCGTTATAACTATAAATCAAATGATGTTTTTATTCACCTAATTCATTATAAAGTTTATTTAACAGTTTAAAAAATTCGAAATTGAAATGGATATTCTAGGGAACATACTGTATAAATGTACTCTGCTGCATATAATTTGTGAACATTTAGATGATTTTTACACTTTGAACTCCCTTTCAGGCTGAAAGGGACTGAAAAAATTCATACCGAGAGATTCTTTTAATTCCTCTCTATATATTCTATTCTCTATGGTTGAGTCATTGCCGCAAACTCAAATTTTTTAATCCCTATATCTTTGCAACCTTTTGGAGTAACTCCTTTATATTTTAAACTTAGATTATTTGATCTAACAAAAATGTATAGTTCGTTATGTCTAGGGTTGATATTGGGTTGCAAAGATATAGGAATTAGAAATTCAGAGTTTGCGGCAAAAACTAAATTCCTTTGGTCCAATAAATTAACTTAAAGATAGAGATGAAGTTGTTGTTTATTACAAAAAAAAAAGGTCGGGAGGCGGGGATATGAAGGGGGAGTAAGGTGGCGGAGTAGACGGTGGAGTGAGGGGGGGGGGTATGTATACAGAAGAACTGGATACAGGTAGATTAGCGTATGAGGTCTTGTCACAATATCTACTGGAGAATGACCGGCCAGGTAAAGCTAGATGACCTGGGAAAGCCTGAGAGACCTGAGACCTTAGTGATATATCGGAGAGATCTCGCAATACTAAATAATCAGATTCAACACCTTAGGAATTAAAACAGGGGCAACAAAAATATACTTTACTTTTTTCTTATTTCATTTTTTTTCTGATACTTTGACTTGTGATTTTGTCTCCCATATTTTTGTCATTATTTATTCGTTGTATTTTTTTCGTCAAAGTACTTTTTGTTTCTTTCTTGCTTTTAAAAACTTTACTCTCTATACTTACGTCCTTTTTTTCTTAAGACGTCTTTTTTATTCTATTTCATTAATCCATTTTAAAACAGTTTTATTTCAAACAAATTATCTATAACCTACAACAAAAGTAAGATTGTTAAAAATGTAAAATCTGGACAAAACAGTAAAATGTAAAATCTTTACGTTATAAAAAGTTTTAATAAAAAGTATAAAACATGTGGTTTCAATTCTACTAATATAAGCCTTCTGGAAAATGACTAAATCTACAAAAAAATGTTCCGAAACAGTTATTTACATTATGTAGTGTATGCATATTTACATTATGTAGTGTATGCATATTAAATATTAGTTGGAGTACCCGGTGTTGCTCAGGTTTAAATTAATTATCATAGTCGAAGTTAATCCCACCGTTTACCCGCGCTTGTAAGTAAATTTTTAGCTTTGTTCCCAGCGTTGCCCGTGAAATTTAAAATTTGTCAAACAAAAATTAGCTGATTTGGTCCAGCCGTTTGGCCAGCTATGACGAACATGTATTTACGAGCAAAGAGGTTTATTAAATAGATAAGGCATGTTATATATCATGGAATATTCAGATTTTTTTAATAGTGTAGAAATTAATAGAATTATAAGTAAATGTAAAAAGTTATTACATTTGTTTATCATAAATGAGACTGCACTGGTGTAAAATAAAGTGAAAAACAATATATCTACATACTGTAAGGAACAGGACTATATTTTTCAAATTTTTTGAAGATTTTATTTTCTTCTTTAAATATTAAACTGCAATACTCTTTAGCAATGAACAAAGCTTCTTAAACATATTAGGCATGAAAAATAATATCAGCTGAGGCCGAATTTAAAGAATTTGAGCGGCGGCTTAAATTTAAGCCGCGGCTCAAATATGGTTGGTGTCACTTAAAATTGTATTCAATGTTTCAAGATTTAAGCCGGCGCTCAATTGAAACCGGTTTTTGACGGATTTAAGACGCGGCTCGAATTCATTAAATTCGGACACTGAGAGCCTTTTTTGGAATGGCAATACTTAGGGAATATGCACTTAAGCTGCTTCCATTTAGCTACTGCATTCGCATGATCTCACTAAAGCTGCTTCTCATTAAGCTGCGTCATGTGAGAATGGTCATACTTATGCTCGTTCCCTTAAGCGGATTCAGGTGAGCTGCTTCCAATAAGCTGTACAATGTGAATGACCTCACCATTGCTGCTTCCATCAAGCTGCTTTATGTGAATGATCTCACTATAAAAGCGCAGCTTTCATTAAGCTGCTTCATGTGAATGATCTGACTAAATATGTTTCCCTTTAGCTGCTTTAGGTGAATGATCTCACTAATGCTGCTTCCATTAGGCGGCTACATGTGAATAATCTCACTAAAGCTGATTCTAATTAGCTGCTTCATGATCTCACTAATGTCGCTGCTTTATGTGAATGACCTTACTAAAGCTGCTGCTTTCACCGTCACTGTAAGAGTTCCAACCTGAACAGTATATTTATAGTACATTAGTGCATGAAAAATATTTACGAAAAAGGAACAACTCTAAAATTTATTAATTTGAAAACTTTTATCAGCAGTAAAATGATTAGAAGAGTAGCAAGGAAACAATTGTAATTTGCAGAGTTGGGTATATAAACTAAACAACTAAACAGAAGAATTTCTTTATGTGAAGAGAATAACTGGTTGTCTTTCTGGGGTTTTTTAAGCTTTGTAATACCAAATTCAATATATATTTAATTATACAAATCAATAAATAAATCAATTAAAGGATAAATCACAGAAAAGGATAAATAAAATGAAAGGATGAATAAAATGAAAGGATGAATAAAATGAAAGGATGAATAAAATGAAAGGATAAATAAAATAAAAGGATGAATCAAATGAAAGGATGAATCTAATAAAAGGAGGAATTAAATGAAAGGATGAATCAAATGAAAAGATGATTCAAATGAAAGGATGAATAAAAAGAAAAGATGATTCAAATGAAAGGATGAATCAAATGAAAAGATGATTCAAATGAAAGGATGAATAAAAAGAAAAGATGATTCAAATGAAAGAATGAATAAAATAAAACGATGAATCAAATAAAAGGATGAATAAAATGAAAGGATGAATCAAATGAAAGAATGAATAAAATGAAAGGATGAATCAAATAAAGGGATGAATCAAGTGAAAGAATGAATCAAATTAAAGGATTAATCAAATGAAAATAAAATAAAATGAAAGAATGAATCAAATGAAAGGATGACTTAAATGAAAGGATGAATAAAATGAAAGGATGAATAAAATGAAAGGATGAATCAAATGAAAGGATGAATCAAATGAAATGATGAATTAAATGAAATGATGAAAAAAAGGATGAATAATCTCACCAGGTTTCCATAAGTATCTTTAATCTGTACCCTATGATCTACCAGATCCCTGTCAAGCTTACAAAGATCTATAACTCCAGATCCAACCTCATCACATTCAAGATCAGGGTTCGAATCCTCTGGCTCCGAGACCACACAAAACCTCATCATCCGTCCCTTCTCCGTCTCTCCTTTTAGTATCTTAGAGAGGGTTCTCCTCCGCCCATTCTCAGCTCCACGCTCAAATGATATCATCTTACTGTTTTTAAATCTTTTCATCATTTTATTTAATTTATTTGAAGAATTTCAATCCCGGGTTTTAAAAAAAATTATTTATTTGCTGAGACAAATATGATTCGTTCCAAAAGAAAGCACAGAGATCTAGCCACTATAAATGTCATGCATCAAATTCTTTTTTAGAAATATAATCTGCTAGAATCTTCTTATCTATACATGTATCAGTTCTTTCATTACCTTTTATGAGAATAAATTTAAAAACAAAGCAAGTATAAGTCGAGGAGGGGGGAGGGGAAGAGGGGTAAAGACCTAATCCCCAGATTTTTTAAATGATCCGTATCACTCTAGAACAGTCTTCTAAAACGTGAAAATGTATTTTTTTTTAAACAATTCTCAGTGGAAAGATTGCTTTGCTTAATATTGAGGATTAACCGGCACTGGGTGTTTCAATATAAATGACAGTTTAGGAAACTGTGTTTGAATTATAAAAACAAACTGGGGCACTTGAAGGTGGATAATTTTTTTCTTGGAAAATAAGAAAAAAATTTTTTTTCTCTAAAATTGGTAAAATTGTGGTGCATCCTGTCATGTATATTCCTACTGTCCTACCCTACTAGAGAGGATAGACCCGACATTCTCTAAGGTTAACCTATGTTTATTCCTACTGTCCTACCCTACTAGAGAGGATAGACCCGACCTTCTCTAAGGTTAAACTATGTTTATTCCTACTGTCCTACCCTACTAGAGAGGATAGACCCGACCTTCTCTAAGGTTAACCTATGTTTATTCCTACTGTCCTACCCTACTAGAGAGGATAGACCCGACCTTCTCTAAGGTTAACCTATGTTTATTCCTACTGTCCTACCCTACTAGAGAGGAAAGACCCGACCTTCTCTAAGGTTAACCTCTAAATTGAAAACTAGAGGAATGTCTCCAGTGTAATCTAAGATAGGAATGTAGATGTAGGAAGGGAGGGGGAAAGTTTAAAACTAAAAAATGTCCAAAAATTTGACGCAAATTTCTTAGAAGTGAAAGATTTTCTTTCCTGAAGTTGAACGTTATCTTTTCTCCAGGGTTAGGTTTGGGTAGGGAGAAGGGTGTCTCCAGGTCCTCCTGGGGTACGTCTAGGAAACTGTATTCTATGTACAGGTTACTGATATTGGGATCATCCAGGAACTAAATTCAACCAGTTCAAAAAAATTATAATATATCGAGATAAATTTGACTGATTTTTAAAGGTTTCTTTATTTTAAGAGTGACATAATTCAATTTAAAATTCAGTGATGGTGATGGACCAAACCTCTGTAGAGTAAAAAAGTAGATGTTAGTTCCACATTCAACACATTCAACCACATTCAACACATTCAACCACATTCAACACATTCAACCACATTCAACATCCACTAATTCAATTTGCAAACCTGGGTCTAAGACACGAAAACGGAGTTATTCTTTTTGTGGAAAGCAAGAAACAAAATATCCATTATTCTAAAAACTTAAGATATAAAAGTTGTCCCTCTTACTTTTCACCGAGACAATACTGATTAATTAGAAAATATGAAAATTTTTATTAAAAGGTTATTGTATTGAAACTAGGAGGTTTTGATGGTCTTAATAGATTTTTTCAAGATTTAAATTAGATTTTTTCCAGTTTTAAATTAGAGTTTTGTTCAAAATTGATTTTAGTATTTGGTGGAGTTTGTCACATAATTAGATTCTTAAGGTCAATAACAAAGTGATTTTATTTTAATTAAATAATATATTTTATTTTGTTTTTGAACTGAATCCCTGGGCTCCTTTCTCCCCCTCGAAATCTGACACAATTATCAGAATGTTCTCGTTCATGTTCAGGTTCAGTTCTCCAGTATCAGGTCCAACCACTACTCCTTCCGAGTCATGGGAGTCAAACTCAGTATCTACATGTACCTGGAGAAATCAAACTCTGTATCTAACATTAAACTATGGTTGCCATGAAACTATTAACAAAATTATGCGTATCCCCTAAATACATTTTTGATCTCCTCCCACTGCAGTACACAGATTTGACGCATGAGATATGGCGGTCTATATATTTCTTGTTTGCAATTAAACTATAATAAATAATAAAATAAAATATAATATTTTACTAAAAACATGAGATATGGTTCCTGGTCTATATATTTCTTGTTTGCAATTAAACTATAATAAATAATAAAATAAAATATAATATTTTACTAAAAACACGAGTTTTTCCAACACTCTGTGATTTTCAAATCCTTATATCTTGTCAACCTGATGTCGTGGACCTTTAAAAATTCAAAATTTTAAAATTTAATTTCAAATTATGAATTGTGTCAGATAAAAAGTCAAAATTTGTAGTGGCAAAGTTTTACTCCATCAGACTGCAAAGATATAGGGATTAAAAAATTTTAATTTGTGGCAAAAATTCAATCCTTTCCAATACCATACCTTTGATTTTCTAATGTTTCTGTCATCTCTACTTGTAGGGTTGGTTTCCGTTCCACTTGTTGTACTTATTCCATTTGTTCTATCTCCCTCACTAACACTTTCATCATCATCATCATCATCATCATCATAATCCTCATCATCATCATCATCTTCATCATCATCATCATCACCTTCATCATCTTCATCAACTTCATCATCCTCTTCGTCATCAGTTGAATCCTCACTAGTATCATCCTCATCCTCACTCTCTTCTATCTCGTGAGATGATTGAACCTGAGGAGGAGGAATAGGTTTAGGTTTCTTCTTCTCTTTACTCTCATCCCTTGTCTGATCTTGTTTTGTATTCTGAGAATCCAGTGATGTATCAGGGTTCATCTGATTCTCCGGAGTAGTTTTAGGTTTGCCGGGTTTGGTTCTGGGAGGTTTAATCCTGCTTCGGGTTATATTCTCTAGCTTCTCCGTTGCTTTCTTACTCAGGATATTTAATACACTTGAATCCTCTGAAATCGTTCCAACTGATAAAGGTTTAGGTTCTGGGTCATCTGAAGAATTAGCTTGGGGTTCAGGCTCTGTTTTGGATTCACTTTCACTTTCAGGCTCAGGCTCAGGCTCAGGCTTAGGTAAAGGCTTAGGTTTCGATTTAGGTTTGATCTTTTTCTCTTTCTCTGCCTTTTCTTTTTCTTCCTCTTTTTTGGTTTCAACGACTGGATTGTCTTCCGTTTTTTGATTAGATTTAATTTCACTTTCTTTGTCAGGTTTAGGATTTATAATTTTTCTCTCTGGTTTAGGATGCGCAGATTTATTCAAAATTATACTCTTTTGCGCAGTATTATCAGTTTTATTTTTCTGCATCAATCTTTTTCTTTCAAGCAAACTTTTCCCTTGATGTCTGTTTGCTCCTGAACTAAGTTGGGTTCTCTCTCCCTGGAGAAAATGAACATCCTTCTCCAACCTGAGAGGTTGGTTTGTCCTCGTCTCCTCCAGCTGTTTCTCTTGTTTGTAAACAACTATTGAACGAACATCATGGATATGAAGACGGAACCAGAGATCTACAGTTCCCAAGACTTCATCCTGGAATATAAAATATAAATAGTTTGTTAAAAATATTAAGTACTTTGCTGTTCTGGGGAACAATTTGATCTAAAAAACATCCAAATCGTATAAGGGATGTCTTGCTGGCCAAATTGGACTAAAGCGTAAATTAAAACAGACTTTGTATAACTTTATGTAATTAATGGTAATTTTGTTTTGTTTTAAAGATCAAATCTGTTTTGTTTTTTCATAACTCGAGAATAAATATTGTAGAAAATACATTTATTCTTAAATAAATCAAAGTGTTTGGAGAATAGAAAATGTATAATTCATAATTTATTGACATGACTGAATATTTTAACTCAAAAACGATAAATGGATGAATTTAGATGGTTTAAGTTTATTCACCTTTGTTGATCCCTTTATTCCTCTGAGTTTAAGAGTCCTATGCAGCTTGTTGTTCGGATAATCTAGTATCTCGGAGAAATTAATATTTGTTACAGCCAACCCTTGGCAATCATTCTCCAGGACAACATGAACCTGGAAACTAACTTCTCTTGTCTCCAGGTACTCAAGGAAGGACGCGTCTACTGTAACCTAAACCAGGAGAATAATGTGTCTCTCTCGAGGAAAGAGTATTATTGTGGAATACAAGTTATAGGACAGAAACTCTGATTTTCAAACCCTTATATCTTTGCAATCCCATGTTGGTATTTTAAACTATGGATTCTGTTAAACCAATAGGTTGCAAAGATATAGGGATTAGAAAGTTTGAGGTTGTGGCTACAAACCTATAAAATTAGGTCATATAAAAAAAGAATTAGATAACCAAGTATTAGATTAATAGATCCTTTCCAAAACAGATTCTAAATTTAGAATACTCTAGGTATCCTCTGTACCTTGTAGTATGAGCTTGAATCTGGAGATAGAACAGGTCCTGTAAGTACTGGAGTATAGGACTGTTCACTCTCATAGAATATCCAACTGGCAAATACACTAGGCTCAGTTAAACCTAAACAATTTCTCTCCTGAAGTCAGAATAGTTGTGCTTTGAATCAGCGGATCAAGCACTGATCTTTATTTCATTTTAAATTCAAAAGTATCCACATAGGATTTCGAGATCAGATGATACAAGTTCATAGTTAAAGTGAAAGTATGGTATTGTAGGCTGAAGAAATAGAGTTTTATTGATATTAGTAATATGCATTTCGTCGAATCAAAGAATAATAATACACAAATGAAAATGGTAGATTTATGTCCTATAGTGATCTGCAGTTTCTAATAATACTATATTAGAAGAGCCTACTGAATTTAATTTAATCCGTTGTTTAAACCTGTTGATAGACGAGTCTACTGAATTTAATTAATCCGTTGTTCTAACCTGTTGATAGAAGAGTTTACTGAAATTAACTAATCCGTTGTTCTAACCTGTTGATAGAAGAGTTTACTGAAATTAACTAATCCGTTGTTCTAACCTGTTGATAGAAGAGGTTCCTGAGTTAAACTAATCCGTTGTTCAAACCTGCTGATAGAAGAGTCTACTGAGTTTATTTAATCCGTTGTTCAAACCTGTTGATAGAAGAGGTTCCTGAGTTAAACTAATCCTTTGTTTTAACCTGTTGATAGATTAGCCTCCTGAGATAAACTAATCCGTTGTTCTAATCTGTTGATAGAAGAGCCTCCTTAGATAACCTAATCCGTTGTTCTAACCTGTTGATAAAAGAGCCTCCTGAGATAAGCTAATCCGTTGAACATGAAGTTGGAACAGAGATTCGTTGGATTGAATATGAAGACTTCTCTCAGTTCTCTCATCTGATCCATCCCGTATCCAAGCTCTAGAACAAAAACAAGTTCAGCAAAAGAAATTGAGTCTACGCCACAAACTGTGATTTATTAATCCCTATATCTTTGGAACCCAAAGTCGTAGACATTACAAATTTCAAAGATACAGTGATTAGAAAATTTGGTCTTGTGGCAAAGATTTAAACTTTTGGTTTGATGGCTGCAAACATAATTTCCTGTAACCCTTCATTTATAGTATGTTTCAATTCAGAACGGAACCCCTAAAAGATTTGTCTGATCAAGGATATACCCATGTTTTAACCTTAAAACTGATCATTTCCATTTTGGTTCTCAATAAAAATTACTTTTAAGTAAATTTATAAAACGAAACTTTTTATTTCCCAGAAAAAAAAACTGGCTTTTCCCGAAAATGAAGTACTGTTGTGAATTGTTAATGACCCCTTCAGGGTAATAGTTTCAATTATCATCAAAATATGTATGTTCCTGCGTACATTTGTGCAGTTTTCAGATATTGTTTTTTTTCGAATTTTCTTCATAAAACTAAATCATTTTCCCAGAATGAAGTTGAAAAAACGAGAAAAGAAAGATGAAAGCAAACCTGGATTCAGTTTCATAATTCTAAAAAATTACTCAGCGTAACATTTTGCAATTTACTTAAGTTTCCAAAACAATTTGCAATAGCTAAACATTTTTTTCACAGCTTAAAGAACTGAACTCATTTTATCTCTGCTTTACCTAGGAGATACTAAACTCATTCTATCTCTGCTTCACCTAGGAGATACTGAACTCATTGTATCTCTGATATCTCTGATTTACCTTGGAGATCCTGAACTCATTGTATCTCTGTTTTCTGCCTTTCCTTGGAGATACTGAACTCATTGTATCTCTGATCTCTGCTTTACCTTGAAGAGATACTGAACTAATTGTATCTCTGATCTCTGCTTATCCTTGGAGATACTGAACTCATTGTATCTCTGCTTTACCTTGGAGATACTAAACTCATTGTATCTCTCCTTTAACTTGGAGATACTAAACTCAATGTATCTCTCCTTTACCTTGGAGATACTAAACTCAATGTATCTCTCCTTTACCTTGGAGATATTAAACTCATTTTATCTCTCATTTACCTTGGAGATACTGAACTCATTGTATCTCTGCTTTACCTAGTAGATACTAAACTCATTGTATCTCTCCTTTAACTTGGAGATACTAAACTCATTGTATCTCTGCTTTACCTTGGAGATAGTATACTCATTGTTTCTCTGATTTACCTCGGAGATACTGAACTCACTGTATCCCTGATCTCTGCTTCTAGTTTCTGAATCTTTCCAGCTCTCATCTCCAGGAGTTTCTGGTATTCTAAAATGCAAATGGTTTTGAAAAACAAGGGTTTTTAGTTTGTTTACCAGGCGGTTTGAATGTTTAAAAGTACTAACTTAACTTATCCTTAAACTAAAATTTTCTAATCCTCATACTTTTCAATCTAATTTGAAATTATGAATTCTGCTTGATTAAATCAGTTTAAAGCGTAGAAAAGATGAGGATTTGAAAAATAGAGTTTTGTTATGATTACTGTTATAGTTTAGAGATGCTAAAATTAATACCCAATGTAAGCAGGATAATAAGAAATTATTAAATGAATATTCATTACTAAACCTGCAATCTGTTCAACAAACTCCTGTTTAACCTGACCCATCCTTCTTTGCAGGATCAAGATCTCTTTCTTTTGCTCATCATTAATACTGTTCTGAACCCTAAATATACAATTTATTTTGTCATTTCTAAATAAATAAATTCGGATTTCTCTCTGACAAAGAAATTGAGTTTTGCCACAAACTCTGATTTTCTAATCCCTAATCTTTGCAATTCTATGACGTAAACCTAAGATGGTTCAACCAAAGGTTGCAAATTTGAGTTTGTTGCCAAGGCTCAATTCTTTTGAGGATGCCAGTTTAACTCAATGGTAAAATGTCACATCAAATATTCTTCGTGAACTTTATACAAAGAAAGACTTGCATGGAATGCAGCGAATTCTTAAAATATTTAAAGCTAACTTAAAAATTGCATTTGCAAAAATTTTCCTGCGTAATTTCTACCCCTTTTGTTCAAAATTCCATTCTGAGAAACAATGGATCTTGGTATGACATTATTTTTATTCTACCTGAGCAACGATCTAGTTTTTTCAAGTTCATTTATAGTTTCAAGATGTAGGATTTGGAGCTCAGCTAGTTCTTTCTCTGTACTCCTTCCTAAACACAAACTTTAGTTTCAAGATGTAGGATTTGTAGCTCCGATAGTTCTTTCTCCGTACTCCGTCCTGAACACAAACTATAGTTTAAAGATTTAGGATTTGTAGCTCCGATAGTTCTTTCTCCGTACTCCGTCCTGAACACAAACTATAGTTTATGTAGGATTTGTAGCTCCGATAGTTCTTTCTCCGTACTCCGTCCTGAACACAAACTATAGTTTAAAGATTTAGGATTTGTAGCTCCGATAGTTCTTTCTCCGTACTCCGTCCTGAACACAAACTATAGTTTCAGGATGAAGGATTTGAAGCTCCGCTAGTTCTTTCTCCGTACTCCATCCTAAACACAAACTATTATTTAAGATGTAGGATTTGGTGCGCAGCTAGTTCTTAGTACTCCGTTCTGACCACAAACTATAGTTTCACGATGTAGGTTTTGTATCTCCGCTAGTTCTTTCTCCGTACTCCGTCCTAAACACAAACTATAGTTTCAAGATGTAGGTTTTGTATCTCCGTTAGTTCTTTCTCCGTACTCTGACCTGAACACAAATTATAGTTTCAAGATGTAGAATTTGTAGCTCCGCTAGTTCTTTCTCCGTACTCCGTCCTAAACACAAACTAGGATTTGAAGCTCCGCTAGTTCTTTCTCCGTACTCCATCCTAAACACAAACTATTATTTAAGATGTAGGATTTGGTGCGCAGCTAGTTCTTAGTACTCCGTTCTGACCACAAACTTTAGTTTCACGATGTAGGTTTTGTAGCTCCGCTAGTTCTTTCTCCGTACTCCGTCCTAAACACAAACTATAGTTTCAAGATGTAGGATTTGGAGCTCAGCTAGTTCTTTCTCTGTACTCCGTCCTGAACACGAACTATAGTTTTAAGATGTAGGATTTGGAGCTCAACTAGTTCTTTCTCCGAACTCCGTCCTAAACATGAACTATAGTTTTAAGATGTTGCATTTGAAAAGTTTTGATGACTGATGGTACCTAAACCATCGACCAACGACCACTTTAGGATATCCCAAAGATTTACAAACATCTACAATAATACAATATAAGGTGGTTGAACCTGAATCTATTTTCTCCAGGAATGAGTTAGGTTCAGATCCGAAGTAGCTCAAATCTTTCTTCTGTCTAAAACCACATCCAAACTTATTCTGTACCCTTGTAACTGTATCCCGTATTCTGTACCCTCGTAACTGTATCCCGTATTCTGTATCCTTGTAACTGTAGTCCGTATTCTGTACCCTTGTAACTGTATCCCGTATTCTGTATCCTCGTAACTGTATCCCGTGTTCTGTATCCTCGTAACTGTATCCCGTATTCTGTATCCTCGTAACTGTATCCCGTATTCTGTATCCACGAAACTGTATCCCGTATTCTGTAATCTGTATTCTTTAGCCTCATTCTGCATTCTGTACATTTTATAAACCTGTATCTTGTATTCTGTGTTTTGTGTTTTGTATCTTGTGTCCTGTATATCCTGTTTCCTATATCTTGTGTTCTGTATCCTGTTTCCCATGTTCTATATTCTATGCCCTGTATCCTTCAGTCTATATTCTGAGTTCTGTATTCTGTATCCTATATCCTTGTATTTCTGTTTAGAACAAAGATATCATCGAATCTCTCAATCTAGTTTTATAAAGATGTTCTGGAATCATCAGACAGTAATAAAAAGACTAAAAATATGATTCATATTCCACGCTTTTAAAAAAAGTTTGTTTCCTAAGGTAAAGAACAGCTTCTTCTATTTCTACATTATCCAAAGTCTGTTCTCTGAAAAATAAAAAGATATTTAGTAATTTAGTAATTTCAAAGGAACTGACTACAGCTTCAAACTCTAATTTGCTTAGTCCTACATCTTTTCAACCTGATGGAGTGAACATTTGATATTTCAAACTTTGGCTTTTTATCTAGAAGAAATCATATTTTGAAATAACAAAGATATTCGACATTAGGTTTGCAACTTTGAATTAATTTTTAAAGTTTAAAAGAATAGATATTTTTCTACGATCTTCATGTTTTTTTAACGTTGCAGTTTCTTCTCTAAAACAATTAATTCTAAATTTAGATTTTTCTTCTTGGACAGTTGAAAATAAATTTTTAGATTTTTTCATTCGTTCCATTCATAAGATCTTAACAAAGCCTGTTTTGCTAAAAATAAAATAATCAAAGCGTCTGAAAAAATGACCACTCAATGGCACATAAAAGGGAGTGACTGACTATAGGTATGGTAGGTTAACTGAGAGTGCAGCATTTTACAATACAAATCAGGATTAATTTGATACCTTCAAGACGTTCTTACGTTCTGTTATTGCTACAATAATAATAATAATAATAATCTATATACATAAATAAAGTAGTTATATCTGTTTGTTTTAATTTTTCGATGTGTAATCATAGCTCATGAACCCCTTAATTTTTTTACTTGAGAACTCAGTTGAACCACGGGAATGTCTTTTAGCCTGGTTTAAAAATTCTAAGTTCAGTGCGGTTGACTTTAGTAATTATGCAATATTTGATTCTTATCCAAGACGTTTCCGATAGATTTTCTTGAATTTCATTGCAAAGACGACATTTAAAGAAATTTGCGAATGAATTAAAAGAAAAGAAAAAATAACCAGCCTTGTGCTTTTTGAAAAACGAGTTTTGGGTCTTACATAGCAATTATTAAGCATTTAGGAAGTTCTTCCACCTTGATTTATATATCGATATAAAAACATTTTAACTTGATACAGAAGACATTTTACCTTGATATACAAGACATATAACCGTGGTATTACAAGACATTTTACTTTAATATACAAGACATTTTACCTTGATAACCAAGACATTTTACCTTGATGTTCAAGACATTTAACCTTGATATTACATTTTAAGACATTTTACCTTAATATACTAGACATTTTACCTTGATATACATGACATTTAACCTTGATATTACATTTTAAGACATTTTACCTTAATATACATGACATTTTACCTTGATTTACAAGACATTTAACCTTGATGTACATGACATTTTACCTTGGTATACAAGGCATTTAACCTTGATATTACATTTTAAGATATTTTACCTTAATATACTAGACATTTTACCTTAATATACATGACATTTTACCTTGATGTACAAGACATTTTTTCATCATGATTCTCCAGATCCTCCTTCAGCTTCAAGAATTTACTCTGTAAATCCTAAAAATAGTTAAAAAAATAAAAAATGTTGAGATTACTATATTATAACCAATAATATTCTTTTTTAAATTAAAAGAAAAAATGTTATGTAAAGTACGTAAACGGAAATTCGTTCACTATTTGAGAGATAAATACACAGAGTTCTCTGACCTTGACGATCATTTAAAGGTTTAAAGTAACGTTGTACATCAAGAATTGCCTGTTTTTAATTGGAGGGTCTCATGATATTATTCCAACAGTTCCCTTTAATTGGAGGGTCTCATGATATTATACTAACAGTTCCCTTTAATTGGAGGGTCTCATGATATTATACTAACAGTTCCCTTTAATTGGAGGGTCTCATGATATTATACTAACAGTTCCCTTTAATTGGAGGGTCTCATGATATTATACTAACAGTTCCCTTTAATTGGAGGGTCTCATGATATTATACTAACAGTTCCCTTTAATTGGAGGGTGTCATGATATTAGGCTCACAGTTCCCTTTAATTGTTAAAAAAGATAACTGCAGGCAAATGTATGATTTAATTTTTGTTAAAAAATTTGGTGGTAACAGGGAACCTCCTGTAATAGATCATCTCCCCCCGGGCCCCCTGAATACCTGGAAATCTGAGTCTAGCTGTGCATAGTTATCTCTCTCCTGAGCCAGGGTATCGGCCAGTCTCCGCTTGTCGTTGAGATCACTCTTAAGTGTAGTCTCCAGCTGGGAGATCTGAACCTTCAACGCGTTCTCTGAAGCTTGATACTGACGCTCCTGATCCAGATTTCATTTATTCAAATAAATACTTTTTACTATTTTTTAGATGTAGCAGTAACTTTCTTTCTACCACGTATAACACGTAGTATGACAGAAAAGTTGTTTTGGTGAATCAATAATATTTTTGCCTATTAACAGATTTTAGTCAATTAAACCCTAAAATAGAAAGGATGGAATATCTCTTTAAAACTATTGTGATAAATGATCAATTACTATAATGGGTTAGAGAGAAAACTTGTTATTAATATTTATATCGCATACATCCTCATTCAAAGTTTATTTCCAAATATCTTTTTTAAATAACAAAAAATTCATTTTTTGTAATGAGAAATTAAGAAGGTCAAAGCTTGATAAAATTGTACCCCCCATCACCATACGTATTAGTTGAATTTGTCCTTGCTGTATCTGTTGTCTTCCAAATTGAAAAACAACAAAAATCAAAATGAATCAAGTTCAAAAGAAACTCAAGGATTCTTAGAATTCCCGATCCTTCTCCTACTCATCATATTTTGCAACATTGGTAAACAAAAAAGGTGAAATTAGCAAGTTTGCAGTTTTCCAACAAAAGATAGAAATCTACTTAAGTTTAAAATATCTCAGAAAAAAATATAAATATGTAAGTTGACACAAAGAATTTAGCGGAACAGAACGTATAGTGTTCCTGAAAAATGATTAAATTATCCCCTGTCAATGTCAAAGTAAACAAACATTTTTAAAATCATTTGAAAAATGAAATTTTCCTTCTCAATGTCGAATGCTGAGTTAAGAAGTTTCTCATTACTCTCCCTGGAGTTTACACAACCCGGAGTCAGGTTTAATTACAGGGTTAACCTCAAAATACGAGATTACAGAGACGAAATGTAAATTTAAGACCCCGGTTAATACCAAACAGGTTTGAATGGGTTAAGCTCAAAATGGCGTGAAAATCATTGAATTCAGCGAATTGAAAATAAAAAATTCAAGAACAAAAATGAAGTCAACAGAGAGTATTTTACTGCCTTACAGAATAAGTCTTTTCAACACCCCTACTTAAAGGGTGTGCATTAAAAGGTTCCCATCTATCATTTCTTCTCAAAACTATGTAAATCTCCGAATATTAAGCTGAAAATGTTCTAATTCAGGCATAAACATACGGAAGAAGTTTACATAGACCAAAAAAAAAGTGAAAAGTGGCAATTGGCTTAAACAGTCCAAAAGGTGACTATTTGCCAGCCATGATGAAAGTATCAAAAACTTTTTCAAATCGGATACAGATCGCCAGGTAGTAAAATCATAATCATAAGAATATTTAATGAGTATATATTCACCAAAGAATAAGTATGAATTGTCATGGCGCTTTGTCTAAGCATTTTGGAAGGGAGTGGAAGCTTATTTCAGATATTCCCAGTCCCAGGCCCAAGCCAAGGAAAAATCATAACAAATCAAGTTTTAGAATGTAAATTCAAGTTTTAGAATGTAAATTCAAGTTTTAGAATGTAAATTCAAGTTTTAGAATGTAAATTCAAGTTTTAGAATGTAAATTCAAGTTTTAGAATGTAAATTCAAGTTTTAGAATGTAAATTCAAGTTTTAGAATGTAAATTCAAGTTTTAGAATGTAAATTCAAGTTTTAGAATGTAAATTCAAGTTTTAGAATGTAAATTCAAGTTTTAGAATGTAAATTCAAGTTTTAGAATGTAAATTCAAGTTTTAGAATGTAAATTCAAGTTTTAGAATGTAAATTCAAGTTTTAGAATGTAAATTCAAGTTTTAGAATGTAAATTCAAGTTTTAGAATGTAAATTCAAGTTTTAGAATGTAAATTCAAGTTTTAGAATGTAAATTCAAGTTTTAGAATGTAAATTCAAGTTTTAGAATGTAAATTCAAGTTTTAGAATGTAAATTCAAGTTTTAGAATGTAAATTCAAGTTTTAGAATGTAAATTCAAGTTTTAGAATGTAAATTCAAGTTTTAGAATGTAAATTCAAGTTTTAGAATGTAAATTCAAGTTTTAGAATGTAAATTCAAGTTTTAGAATGTAAATTCAAGTTTTAGAATGTAAATTCAAGTTTTAGAATGTAAATNATACTGGAAGTTATTTATGCGTTTTATTAGAGTCTGACTCACGTCCTCTATACCATAAATACACTTTTCATAAATAAAATAAAGTCTAACTAGTTTTTATAACTGCGCTAAATTCTCATGAAAATTCCCAACTTTAGATAGGTGTTAATTGTAATTAAAATTTATTTTAATTATGGCACTTGTAACTTAAGCCAACTGTAATTTATGGCAACTATATTTATGGCAAATGAAACTAACTAAACTCAGTAAATGTTTGTCCTGAGTTGGGAACTTTAGAATGAAATATCCTTAATCTCGATCAGTTAATTAATCTGGGGATTAAAAACAACAGGAGAACAAGCATTATTTAATCTGGAGATTAAGAAAAAGATGAGATCAAGCATTAATCCCGATAACCACTATTCAAACGTTCCCAGCTCTGTGTGAATAACCCTGTATAAAGTATATATCCAGGTTGTATTCCTAAGAATAGTATTATCTCTCTGTAGTTCTCTAATCTTCTCTTGGCATTGGTTCAAGGACTGTCGAAGTGCCATAGAAGAGTTTACATCCTGTAATTTTAATAAATTATTATTTTAAGCGTTCCAATTGTCGGCTCTATCCTGTTCTTTCCTGTTCTATCCTGTTCTATCCTGTTCTATCCTGTTCCATCATGTTCAATCCTGTTCTATCCTGTTATACCCTGTTATATCCTGTTATATCCTGTTCTATCCTGTTCTATCCTGTTCTATCCTGTTCTCTCCTGTTCTATCCTTTTCTATTCTGTTCTATCCTGTTCTATCCTGTTCTATCCTGTACTATCCTGTTCTATCCTGTTCTATCCTGTTCTATCCTGTTCTACCCTGTTCTATCCTGTTCTATCCTGTTCTATACTGTTCTACCTGATTGATATTGCTGTTTCTCCTTTGTTCCTCTAGAAGTTGATGATTTAAATCTCTGGTTCTATCCTGTTCTACCCTGTTCTATCCTGTTCTATCCTGTTCTATCCAGGGGGTTACACAAAGTACGTTATTGGAAAAAACATGGATTTTGCTTGCATATCCCCATTTGCTTTAAATTTTGATTGTGGAACTCGGTAGGACCACGGAAATGATTTTAGCCTCGATTGAAAATTCTAAGTTGAGCTAGTTGACTGTTATATAGAGTGTTTAGTTTCTAGACAAAGCTGGGTTCCTAAGCCAGTTATAATATATTTTTTATCTTTGGTTAGATATTTTCTATTTATAGTTCTTTTTTTCTATAGAATATTATATTCTCAGCTTTTTAGAAAGAAAAAACGCTGACGTGAAATTCCATAGGCATTTTATAACATTTCTCGATACATTTTTAGAAATCTCACACGCCTCCTTTTAAAAATTGACCTTCAGTTTTCTGATATTTTCTTCTGTTACTTCAAGCTGAGCTTTCAAACTTTGTATTTCAGAACCCTGAAATTAATATCATTATTTAAATTTAAAATGTAATTATTGTGTTAAGAATTAAATGTCATATTCAGTGGAAGTGGTTTAATGAATTTTTCTGCAAAATAATATTTAAAAAATACAGAAATACAATGATTCATTTAATATTTAAAAAAAGATAATTTTACAGAATAAAAAAATTTATAATTTCAATAGAACTTTGTTAAATTCTGAAGATTGCTGAACACTAAAAATATCCTTTCGATTTTTAAATAGAAATAATACTGGTTTACCCCCAAATAGATGAGACCTCAGAGAGGACAGAGAGCTATTTTTTTTATTATTTAATGGTTCTTTGTAGCCTGTACATTGTACAGTACAAGTACGCTCATTTTATTTAACATAATGTTTTATCACTCTAGGATTATAAACTTATATTAAGAGCTACACGTCGTCTTCAAAGTCTGCTTCTTTGTGGTTGCACCTGACTGTACCTTTACTTTACACTCTCGTTGAACCCTGATCAGTTCTATATTCTCAGCTACAGTTTGCCGTTGGCTTTGGGAAACCTAAAATCAGATTTTAAAATCAATTATTAAGTGTTCTATTACCCTCAGACATAATCGCTCTTTTCTCTTGATAATCAGGACTTTTGCCAAAATAATTCATTTATTGGTTGAAAATTATAAGATTGGACCTTAGAGCTTGGTTAATCTCCAAGAGATGAGAGAATGAGTTTAACTCTTTCTATCAAGATAATAAGAGATTGAGATAAACTCTGTCTATCCAGATTATAAGAGATTGAGATAAACTCTGTCTATCCAGATAATGAGAGAATTAGTTTAACTGTCTCTATTAAGATAATGATAGAGAATGAATTTAACTCTTTCTTACAAGATAATGAGAAAATGAGTTTTACTCTATCTTTCAAAAGAATTATAGAATAAGTTGAAATCACTCTATCAAGTTAATAAGACAACGAGTTTAACTCGCTCTATCCAGATAATGAGAGATTAAGTTCAACTCTTTCTATCAAGATAATGAAAGAATGAGTTTAACTCTCTCTTACAAGATAATAAGAGAATGAGATAAACTCTGTCTATCCAGATACTGAGAGAAAGAGTTTAACTCTCTCCATCCAGATAATAAGAGAATGAGATAAACTCTGTCTATCCAGATAATAAGAGAATTAGTTTAACTCTCTCTTACAAGATAATAAGAGAATGAGATAAACTCTGTCTATCCAGATAATAGGAGAATGAGTTCAACTCTGTCTATCAAGATAATGAAAGAATGAGTTTAACTCTCTCTTACAAGATAATAAGAGAATGAGATAAACTCTGTCTATCCAGATAATAGGAGAATGAGTTTAACTCTCTCTATAAGATTATGAGAGAATGGGTTTCACTCTCTCTATCAGGATAAAAGAGCTGAGCTCCGTACAAGAAAAGCTCTCCTTATCCCACGATTTCTTTTTTTCATTTCTACAAGAATCTCAGAAATTGAATCTGAAGAATTTTCTCCTGTTCTTCTCCTGTTCTCCTCCTGATCTTCTCCTGATCTTCTCCTGTTCTTCTCCTGTTCTTCTCCTGTTCTCCTCCTGTTCTTCTCCTGATCTTCTCCTGTTCTTCTTCTGTTCTTCTCCTGTTCTTCTCCTGTTCTTCTCTTCTCTACACTAAACTGCATATTTTCCTCCCAGCTTAAAGGGAGTGTCGACGTATTTCAAATTAGTCTCCATTTTAAAAAAAAGTGGCATGTCCGATTTGCAATGATACCCTTTAAACCTCTTTCTGACAAACAATTTTTTACAATTTCCTTCATTGTCTCGGCCGCTTAAAAACGCAAGTGACTATTACAGAGAAATCATGGCAATTGCTTATGATCAGTTTTCAGATAGCGAAATACCAACTTTTCATTCACTATTGATAAGACAGCGGTGTGAAGGGTACCATTGTGAATCGGACATGTCACTCTGTCACTTCAGGGAACCTTCCTTTACGGATTTTTATAATAATCTACCCCCTAAATGCTACAAAGAGCTAGGTATGACATGTGGGAAAAGTTTACGGGATCGATGTTAGAAGGGTTCCACCCTGAATTTACAATAGTTTTTAATGGGTTATCATTCTTAAAGTCAGCTTTAGAAAAGGTTCCATTAGGCCATTGCGGATCCAAATTAATCAGGAAAAAATTAAAAACTCTAATTCGAAGTAGATCTTTAAGGTTGAAACTTGTCAGTTTATTGCTAAAACTTGGTTTACCTGAGTTTTAAGTGCTGAAACTTGGTTTACCTGAGTTTTAAGTGCTGAAACCTCCTCTTCAAGATTATTCTCCTAAAAATTTAAATTATTCATAAATATGTACGAGTATAGTCATTAGGATCCGCAACATCATGCCTCCCTAAATCCGGATCCACCACATCATGCCTTCCTGAATCCGGATACGCAACATCTTGCCCCCCTGAATCCGGATCCGCAACATCATACCTCCCTGAATCCGGATCCGCAGCATCATGGATCCGCAACATTTTGCCTCCATAATCTGGATCCTCAACATAATACCTCCCTGAATACGGATCCGCAACATAATACCTCCCTGAATCCGGATCCGCAACATCTTTCCCCCTGAATCCGGATCCGCAACATCATACCTCCCTGAATCCGGATCCGCAGCATCATATTTCCCTGAATCCGGATCCGTAACATCATACCTCCCTGAATCGGGATCCACAACATCATGCCTTCTTTAATCCGGATCCGCAATAAAATGCCTCCCTGAATCTGGATCCACAACATCACTCATGCCTCCCTGAATCCAGATTCGCAATAAAGTGCCTCCCTGAATCTGGATTGGCAGCATCATGCCTCCCTGAATCTGGATTGGCAGCATCATGCCTCCCTGAATCTGGATTGGCAGCATCATGCCTCCCTGAATCTGGATTGGCAGCATAATACCTCCCTGAATCCGGATCCGCAACATTTTACCTCTCTAAATCTGATTCCGCAGCAACATGTGGTTTCACGGGTTTATAGGATCCAAGTGTTTTTTTGTCTCAAAGTAACAGTCTCAAATGTTAATCTTTCTGAACTCTTGCATAATTTTCTACATAGATAATTGTTTTTATACGACCTACAGGTTAATAAAATCTAAGTCACGAAGCAGTAGCATTTTGCACATCGCTAATAATTAAAATTTGCAAGTGCGTCCACGAATTCGAGCACGAAATTGAAATTATAATTAAGATTTCTAATTTTAATATTTTGCTCACAAAAATCTTTGTTAATTAAAAAATAAATAATAGATTTAATCCTTACCTTTATCCTGCTCTGCTCTTTAATCTGATCAATCTCCTGCTCATAAATATTTAGCTGTTCACGAATTGTATTCACCTAAACAGCAAATGTCGAAGAGTTGTCATCTAAAAGACTATGATTTAGTAAAACAATAGTTAATATCACACTCAAAACTTCTGACTTCCGACATATATATATTCTAGACGATTTAGTGATTTTTGTTTTCATTATGTACAGTACATATATCTACTTCATAGATTAATTAAAATAACAGACAGGACACTCCGTCTAAAATGAGTAATTAACTCTGACTTTAGTACTCTCGAGACCCTGGGAGAAATGTCTGGATCGTGTAGAAACAAGGAGAAGATAATTGAAAAAATTAAGACAAAAATCAGAAAAATTAGATGAACGGATTTTTGGTATAATTAATGATTTGGTCAGGCCCGTAGCCAGGGGGGGGTGCAAGGGTGCAGGTGCACCCCCCTTTCTTCTGAAAGAGGGGTGCAATGACGAATTTGCACCCCCCCCCCTAGTCCCATATAAAAGAAATTGTTTCTAAAATCTAGTTATAAATTATATAGCCCGAGTAAGAATTGATTTCCAAACCAAATTATAATCTATTTGTGCTTTATACTCATTGAAAGTGTGACGGAGTTTTTGTGTACTCTCTCAACTCATCCCCTGAGTCATCTCTCTCCTGTGACCTATCGCAGGCTAACTAACAGTTGATCAGTACACTCTGTTGATTAAATATAACACAACATCAAAATTTACTCATAGTCATTTAATAGTTATTTAAGTCTAATTAAAATAGTATGATTTATTAATTATATGCATAGAGTCCCATGGAAATGAAATGGTAATCTCCTGTACACTTTCAGACTTTTAGCCCCCTCCCCGCCCCCTTGACCTGTGTGCTATGTTTTATGAGTCTGTTTTTTTGAGGCATTTCCGTGGTTAAGGGTTTCCCCCTTGACCCTTGAAAAGCTTTTTTTTTAAATGAATAAGAAATAAGATCATATCATTTTCATATTGCAAAGTCAAAGTAATAAATGATTACTTGACTCTGTTAGTTAAGCAGTACTCCCTTAAAAGCTCAAATACACTCGTTAAAAAGGTTAGCCTTTATAGTGTGCATTTACAATGTAATAAAAACAACCATATGCCACTGTAAAACCAAACCAAACATTGTTTAAAAAAATCATTAAAAACCCCCCAAATTTTTTTTTCACCTGCAGCGCATCAGGTTGCCCCCCCCCCCCTGGTCAAATCCTGGCTATGGGCCTGGATTTGGTAACTGTCTATTTTGGTAACTAACAAGTTGGTAACTTATATTTCGGCAACTAACAATTTGGTAACTAAACTTTGGTAACCAATAATTTGGTAACTTCACAATTTGGTAACCAACAATTTGGTAAGTAATATTTTGGTAACTAACAATTTGGTAAGTAATAATTTTTCGTAACAAATAATTTGGCAACCTCACAATTTGGTAACTAACAATTTGGTAACTTGACAATTTGGTAACTAACAATTTGGTAACTTGACAATATGGTAACTTGACAATTTGGTAACCTGCCAATTTGGTAACTAAAAATTTGGTAACCTGCCAATTTGGTAGCTAAAAATTTGGTAACCTGAAAATTTTGGTTAGGTTAGGTTAATATGATTTTTGGGCTGATCGCTGCGGCTAGGACAGGCTATGGGGCCGAGCGCTTCGTCCATACTTATCAAAACTAATACTAAGATATTCAATATGTGGGGTTAGGTTAGGTTAAGAAAATAACTGGGCCGAGCGGCTCCGGCTAGGACAGGCTAGGGGTCCGAGTGCTGCGTCAATATTTATCAAATTGATAAATTGATATTGTGGAGCCCCTGATCTGCATACTGCAGTACTGTGTGTACTGCAGCCTGGTTCTAGAACAATCCACCTTACTATATAAACTCATTGTATATTATATGAAATACAGACTACAGTATTCTACAGTAGCTTGTCTTGTTCACTTGACAGTAGTTCTACAATATCCATATATGTTGGGTTATTTGGTTATTTAAAAAGTGTTTATAAGTTGATACCTGATCTTCTAGTTGCCGGTTTTCATTCCTAGCTTCTTCCAGTAATCTAAAAACACAAAGGGTATAAAAAGTATAAAAAAGAGTACTTTTAGTAAATAGATAACCGAGTTTTCTGTTAAAATTTAAGTTTACTAACTTCTCTACATGTGCACCCTGATGGTTTAAAGCTCTGATATTTCAAACTGACATTAATTGATCCAACAGCTTATTCATAGTTTGAATTATCAAAGATCTACGACATTGATGATAAGGGATTATAATAATATATAAATATTAAATTAAGTTTTGTATTGTCATCTAAATCAATTTGACTAATAACAAAACAAGTTCAGAGCTGCTGGGATCGGGAATCCAGATTAAATAAAAAAATAATTGGTCAAATTTCTGTACAGTAGTTTAATGCCTGTTGGAATTTTTATTAGTTTTAAAAAAGTGTAATTGTACCTTGCTGCTTGTTGTGAGATAAGTTGTGTTTGATTTCCTGGTCCTTGTCCATTCCCCTGTCCATATCCGTGGCCATTTCCCTGTCCGTGTCCATGTCCTGGTCCGTATCCTGGTACAGGAGATGCAGGAACGTATCCCTAAAAATGTGCAATTTCACCCAGAGCTTCAGACACATCGGAAGACTTTATAAAATGTCGTATTCGAAACTTACTGGTGATGGAATTCTCCAAATATTTCGTTTTTTTATTCAATAGAGCTCTTTAAAACGTTTCTCGCATATTTAAGGGACAGTGATAACCAGAAAACTCTGGAATAGTCGACTTTTAGACTCAATATATCACATTAAACAGTCCGATTAACATGAGGCAGAGCAATTGTGCAATGTAAACAGACCCATTTCACTTAATAAGTTATAATATTTTACTATTGAAGGTATTCGCTTTGTAACAGCATCAAATGCACTTCAGAATTGCTTTAATGTCGTCTTCCTATTACAGTTTTCTGGTTATCACTGTAGATTTAGGTATTACAGTATAACCTCATTGAAAAATAGTCAAGACGACATTTTATAAATTCTTTCGATGTATCCGAAGTTCTGGGTCACAGCACTTTTTTAGAAATAGTTCTGCTACAATTTACAAGATCGTTATATGAAATTTCATAATTAGAATACAGCGAGAAATCCACTGTTAACGGGTTCTCACTTTAGAATTCGTTTATATAAACTTTTGTGTGTATTGATTTACATATATTTATTTGAGTTGGGTGTTTCTTTATTTTTTTTATATCCTATGCTGTATAATTGTAAAGTTTCTATTACTTGAGCGGATGGTGCTCTCGGAGGAAGAGGTGTACTAGGAGTATGCCTCCGAACAGGTTTTCCGACGATCTGATTCCTCGCAACCATTAACTTCTCCCGCAATCCTCCGTTCTGTTGCTCCAGCTCCCTAATTATTTACAGGTAAAAGTTCATCCATTCTGAAGACGACATTTATAAAGTTCTTACCTGATTCTTTGTTGCTGATCCTCAATTAGTTCTTCAGTTTCGATATCTCTGATCCTTCCTTGGCCTCCAGCTGCATTCTCCATTCGCTTCTTGTCAGAGAGAACTCTAAAACCATTAGAAACACAAATCAATATACAGCTAGGAGTATTCTCAAAGGAACTTTAACAATTTGACTTAAAAAACTGTAAATCATGTGAACTGAGGATTTAATATGATCCTTTTATTTTATTTTTTTGTTGCTAAATCCATGTTGATTTGGAAAATTAAGAGCTCGAAAACTGAAAGACAAAAATTGAATAAACCCTGCAATCAGTCCTTTTTGGGAAATTCTTTGCGCGAATATATATGCAAAAGTATATAGCATTTACAAAGATTGTAAGAATCGAAACTTTTAATCGACATTTACTTGCAAATTCAAAACAAGCAATGATGACTGGTAGTGAGGTAAAAAAAAACGGTAAATAAGAAAGTGTAGAATAAAATGAGTTGAGATTTATCCAGATACAGGGTGTCCCAATAAACATAGGAATTCAGTGACGATTTCGATAGCGTCTTTTTAAATAATTCTTTGATTTAACGTATAGTGATACCTACTGAGAAATCTGTAATCTGTAAGAGCTCGTCTGCTATGTTCACATTTTGTTTGTTTATGTTTTGACTGCATAAGGGTGTACTTAGTAAAACAAGAAAATTACAGTATACAAACAGAGTAAACTTGTCCGTCTTCACTGTTCATCTTGCGGAGACATTATAGACACATATTTACAGTCATTTACCCTTTTCATTAAATAAACTCTAGCAGGCATAATAATATTATGGTCTTATAAATTAGGTATTACAATGCTAATTCATAACAAAAACGATATCGAATTCGTTACTGAATTCCCATGTTTTTTGGGACACCCTGTAAGTTAGTAGTCGAATTTTAGAACCTGATAAGTTTAGTTGCAAGTTTCTTCAGTTTATCCTCCTGCTTAACTGCATGCTTTTTCAGAGACGCATTCTCTTCTAGTACTCTCAAGTACCTAGAGATAAAACAAGCATAATTCTTCGACCTTTTTTTAAAACTTTTACATGGTTTTCATGTTTTTCCTTTCATATATTGGATACAGCATAATATCTGAATTAACCCTAGATATCCTGGATACAATATATATCTACCTGTCCTCTAAATCCTAGATATCCTGGATAAAATATATCTCTGCATGTCCTCTAAATCCTCCCTAGATATCCTGGATACAATATATCTCTACCTGTCCTCTAAATCCTAGATATCCTGGATAAAATATATCTCTACATGTCCTCTAAATCCTCCCCAGATATCCTGGATACAATATATCTCTACATGTCCTCTAAATCCTAGATATCCAGGACACAATATATCTCTACCTGTCCTCTAAGTCCTCCCTAGATATCCTGGATACAATGGATCTCTGCTGTAGAAGGAGAGCATCAGGTTTACTCAAATCTATCTCTAGAATCCCTCCTGATGTATCCTTGGTAGGGATTAGATCATCGTCTAGATCCATCCTAGTTCTGAAAATAATGGAGATACCGACAGAGCAGACATTAACCGCCAAGCTACAAAAGATAAAATGGGTCAAAATTGATCTTAATAAATAAATCATAAAGTATTTCCAATCCCATCCTTACAGGAAAACCATGAAAAGGATAGATCTCTAATTACCGTCGACATATGGATTTACAACATCGAATTATTTCGTCTAAACTCATACATATTCTAGCTTATAACTATTATAATTGTTACAAATTAATTGCCATAACAACCTAGTGCTTATGATTATTGACGAGCGATAAATCGTTAAGTTTTTTGAGCGGAACTATTTTGAAAGCGTATCGTTAATTTTGATCTCGATTTCAAACGTGGGCACTTTCAAAATTGAGGCTCAGGGCTTGATCCCTTAATTAAAGTTAAAATGAACATCACGAAATGTCAGAAAGGAATTAATTCATATACATACTATATACTACATACTACATATACATACTACATAGGTCTGTTTAAGATGGAGATCAGATTTCACTGACTTCTGTCCTAACTCTACATGGGCCTTTTGTGTTCTTCAGCCATTTATAATATGATGGAGGACAATAAATTGTTCTTGAAAGTTTGAAAGATTCAAGTTGACAGCTTTAGAAATGAGAAGAGTATAAGAAGGAGACAAGAAACAACTACCTCTCCCCCCCCACGGTCTCATCTTGTTAAGCTTGAAATATTTGTTTAACTACAAAAGATTTTAGAACCTTAGCCCATCACACAACTGCTATACACAATCAACAAGGTTATAGTGTAAAGATTAATGATGTACGCTAATCAAAGATAATATATATATAGATATGCAGGCAGGTAGAAACCTCCTTCCTAAATTGCTTGTAGCAGACAACCAATTTTTGTCCCTCTGAGATAAAGTGCAAGGAGAGACATCTATAGCAAATTGATTACTTTCTATATTCCTTTCTCCCCTTGCTGCCATCTGTAGGAAATACGCATTTGTGTTATATAAGCATACAGTACGCGTATTGCATCCTGTATAGTTCAAGTGTTGCTGTCTGGACCTGTTTGACCAATAAAATTAAATTTCAAGGTAACACAAACATACAGTACGCGTTTTGTTTATGTTATGATCAGTTGTACTTAGTAAAGATATAGTAGACAAACAGAAATATTGACAAACCTTTGGAAATTATTTTATATTTGTTAAATAAGTGATATCTATTTAATCAAACGGTTTTAATGAGATATTTAAATAAAATTAGATTTTTTAATTGGTACCACAATATGCAATTAAGATCTTGGGGTTGATGGTTTAAAGAATTATTAAAATTACTGTTTGGAAAGTTTAAAAAACAGAGGTTTAAAGGGACTGTTTACTTATTTGGGTAATTTCATGGCAAGTTTGAATTATTTAAAAAAAATAAACTAAGGCTATCAAAGGGGATAATGGACTGGGGCTGGCTCATTTCTTTTTTATATACCAATCAAATTGAAGTTTTGAGCGCAACAAACCTAGGATGATCATTTTAGGAAAGTAATGGAGTTTTTTTACGCATAAACAAAGTGATAAATTAGCAACAATCCAGAGGATAAAATGCCATGCGTACGACAGAGATGGTGCTGTTTGTACATTTTCTCAAGACCTCAAAATTTATGCCTGCCTGCACATCTATGTATATATATAATCTTTGACGCTAATACTTTACTAATTGTATAGGCCATGAACTATACCAAGAGCGTACTGCATATTTGTTTATTATAAAGAGATTCTGGCCTAACCTATAGTATATCTTTATTAATAAGAGCAGTTGTAAGTGTACTGATTTAAAATTCAGTGATGGTGATGGACCAAACCTCTGTAGAGTAAAAAAATAGATGTTAGTTCCACATTTATTGAAAATATATTTCGGTCTGGGTTGACCCTCGTCAAAAATGTCAGTATAAAAGTCTTTCGTCTTTAAAATCATCAAAAAAACCAGCTGTTTACCAATAACCAATAAACCATAACAAACTTTTTTCTTGATCAGAATTCGTTTTTCATTTGTTTTTGTTTATGTGGGAGTTTTAAGAATGGAGGGAAAACTTGTTTGGAGTTTACATATTATACCCTGACCAGACACGCAGATTACTAGCAGCAATTCAAATTTTGTTGTTTTGGCGTTTTTGAGCCTCAGGGTGATTAAACAAACACCGTGCATAGGCATGATAAAGTAGAGTATGGTATAATAAACAGTATGGTGTGATCAGAAGGAATATATTAATTGTCCTTGATCAGTGGTTTGTAATTTTAATTCAAGGATACTTCGCTTAGTTAATGCAGGTTCGGTGGTTTGTTTAGAACAAACACAGAGAACAGGCATTTTGGGAGCTTCGCACCCTCGTAATACTTAAATAAATATAAGTAAATAATTCAGTAAACACATTTTAACAAATCAAAAAGAATGAAGGCCTTCACAGTGTTTCAATCATATATTTCGGACATCTAATAACAAACTACGCACTTGATTACATATATGGCCTTCATTTCAATCCAACCTGATTAAAGCGTCAATAATACGAATTACGCATTTATTCAATGGAATTTTAAATATACTGAACAAAAAAAACAAAAATGTTTACGTGTCCTGTATGTATTTAACAACTTTATGTAAGTATAACTGAGAGTGAGTTATTTTTATAATACAATCACCACTATTTTTTGCCGGATTTGGATTCTAATTCTAATATTTTGGTTTCATTCACTGTGCAGTTCTGGAGCAAATAGATGTATAAAATATTAAAAAGAACATAATCTTAAGGAATTATTCAGAACAGATCAACTGATGTATTTTTTAAATGTGATACTATTTTACGCCCCACCGGTGTACATTTGAATATTCGAGCTGGGATAACCCAAGGCACTAATGCAAGGAAAGTTAATTGCGGTTGTGTATACTACCTCTGCGTACATATTAAAACCAGTTCTCTCTGGGCGGAATTTGTAAACAAGAATAGATGCATCAGTGTTCGTTTAGTATACGAGGAGTATTTAAGCATTTAATTTTGATAATTTTGATAATTCACACAATAGTTTCCTATGACCAGAATATTTATAGATTATTTTTGTGAAAATGAATTCCATGTCAGGCTGTGGAATCCGTCTTGTGTTTAATTTACTTTTCCGCCCAAAGACAAACACTGCAGTAAAATAAATGCGTACACCTCTGAAATAACTTTCCTTGCATTAGTACCTTGGGCTAACCTTTGCAGTCCTACTTTGGACTCTGTTCCGCCAATTTACAATTATTAAGCGGCAGAGGAGTGTGATTGTTGTTAAGCGATTTTTGCATTTATTATCTCTCAGGGTTAAAATTTGGTGGAAGCAAATATTTTCAACATTTGTTATTCGAAATATTTGCTTCTCTTTTGGCAAAAAAATATAAAAAATATTGCAAAATATATGCAAAATATACGCAAAATATATGCAAAATATACGCAAAATATACGCAAAAATGATCATTTCAAAAACATTTTTCCACGTTTTCAAGGACAAAATGTTGCAAGGTAAAAGCTAACTTTAACAGGTTACATTTTTGAAAGAAGTTTTTGAAAAGACAAATATAAAAGATTAACATTTTATTCATTAAAACTTCTAAAATATCAGAAACAAAGATTAAAATTTTGAATATTACGAAATGATGAAAACGGGAAATAAATAGTATTTTCAATTATAAAGATAGAATACTTGTCAGAACTTGCAAAGACAAATCTAAATGTCAGGGCTAACTATTTAAGCAGTTTGCAATGTTAGATAAATCTGTTTTCGTATTTATAATTATGACAAATCAACTTGAACTAAATACTAAGTTACTGTATAGAACTAACATATATTTTAACAAACATATTTGTGGCTAATAAGCTTGCATTGCGTGTTCAAGATGGACATTTAAGTTAATGTTTTTTTAAACGTCTTTAGGTTTAGTATAGCGGTGTTCGACTATATTTTTTAATTTTTATTTAATTTAACGGTTGTGTCGTTTAATAATCTCCTTCAAATGAAACATTTGAACAATTTGAACCTGATGTTGTAGACCTTTGATATTTTAGACCATACATTTTGTTAGATCAGCTTTAAAATGTAAAAGGTTTGTAAAAGGTTTACACCAACAGGTTGCAAATATAATGGGATTAAAAACGAGTTGAGTAATTATGGATCCTTAAGGTTTATTGCTCACATTCTGTACAATATTTTATACTGGTTCTTGCACTAAACATAGTTTAGAAAGCAGGTCTATACTTTATCTATATATATATATTTATATATAAATACCATTCTACCTGATAACTCATAGCTTTCTACTAATTTATATATATATATATATACTTTGCTTGTCCGTTTGTCTGTCTGTTTTTTTTGTATCCAATAAACGTTAAAACGGCTGAATCGATGAAGCTTAACATTTTTGTGGCAACTCACTTAACAAAAATATAGGTATATGGATGCTCATAATTACAAAAATTTGTATCCCAACATTTTGGGATTTTTGTAAAATTTAGAAATACACAAAAAATAGTATTAGTTCAAGATGGTCTTAGAATTGAGCCACAATTAAAAGTTCATTGTCACGTGACACAGGCGGAGACACATGACAATGATACTGCACTGCTATTGGAAGTAGTTCTATCGTGATACGTACAAATCAATTATATTATCAATTATATCTTTCAAAATTTTAAAATTTTTAAATTCCAATGAAAATAGGAGCAAACCTGAGTTTTTTAGGCTCCTCTGGGATATCGTCGTTTTCAGATTGGTTTAGTATTTATTGAATATGGTCTGTTTAAAACTTAGAATATTATACCAAATCTTATATATAAGTTTTGGTATAATTTTGAAACAGTTTTATATCAATTTAACGAAAGAGGAACATCAGATAGAACCTTTATATGTCTCAATTAACTCCTGAAGATCTTATGTATTAGCCCATACCACCTTCCATTTTTCCTTTACAGTCCCATTAAGATTAAAAACCGTTCAAAGCAGACATTTATAAACTTTAACTGGAGTATATAGTTCAACCCCAGTCTTTATGAGTGACTCTAATATTCTCTTTTACCTTTCTTTGTATTTTTTTATCATACATTGGAAACGTGTAAAAAAATAAATATAAAATAAATAAAACTCTGTCCTTATTTCTTTACATGCTTACGGTTATTTTAAGTATGACAAATCATGATTTAACAGATGTTTAAACATTTATGATTGAAACTTTTTATGTATCTAAGTATAAGTAAACTCACTTAAAAAATATCTTTTCTTTAAACTAATTTTTTCTCCATTTTTATTAATTTTCTGATTCTTTCGTTTTTAATATTTTTATTTATTCGTTACTATGATTTAATGCTTTTTTTCTTCATCGCGTTTTTTTTCTCTGGGCTTTCTTTTTTATAACCACAGTTTCTTTTATCTTTATTAATGGAACAAAAAACTTTTTCTTTCAGTTTTTTCCCCCCCCCCCCCCCCCTCCCCCTATTTATTTACTTTTCTTTTCTTTTTTCTCCCTTATTTGTTTCATGATTTCTTTCCTTATTTAATCATCCATTCTTTCTTCATTTATTTATCACTTTCCCCCTTTTTTTTCTTATCCACTTTATTTTTTTCTCCCCTATTTATTCCATAATTTCATTCCTTATTCCTTACCTCAATTCCTTCTATTTTTATTCATGAAAAAAACTTTTTTCTTTTAGTATTTTAAACATTTTTACTCCATATTTATTTCTTTTTTCGTATTTTTCCCCCGGCCTTATCTGTTTTTTTCTCCAGTACTTAATCATACAATGATAAAATATATACATTGAAACAAAACAAAAACGTACTTTAAGTACTTTTCTTTCAAACGATCCTAATTGTTCTATGTTGTAAAATATGTTTCTAAGCAGCTACTGCATCTACCACATGAATGAATTAATGAAAATAACTTTTTTCTTCTTTCATCTCTAGCTTTCGTTAATTTTTCTATATTGTTATGTCTGAGTATGTGCCCATTAAACGTTTTATGACATCTTTACATCTATTCCTGAAAAAAACTTTTTTCTTCTAATTTGAAATTTTTCAATATTTATTCCCTTTGAACCTTTCCTAATCAGTTATTTACTTTCTTTTCTAGCTATTGATTCATTTATTTAAACCTAAAAATAAAAATTCCGAATTTTAAGAGTACGAAAATTAAATAAAAAATGATTGGCACTTTTGCATCAAACAATCTTAATCATAATCTTCTCAAACCATCTATTTCTTCTGTCAGTGGACATAATAATACCTTTTTTTCTTCATCTTGCTTTTTTTTGCAGTCATAAAATAGTTTTTTTATATGTTGCTTGTACTGTGTTTATTTTCATTTCTCAAAATAAATGGAGTTTTTGCAACAAACTCTGATTTTCTAATCACTATATCTTTACACCCCTATGAATTAGACCCTTGATATTTTAAACTTTGAATTATAAAAAATTGAATAGAAACCCTACCTGGTAATTTTCCATGAGACAATCCTATAATTGCTCTGTGTTGTAAAGATATTAGTCTAAGCAGCTTTGACATTCATTCATGAATCTTTTGTCTTCGGTTTTCATTTAGGTAAACTTAGTGGTTCCACTCATGCAACTCTTTCATTTAAAAACACTTGTGTTTTTACAGCTAATAGATTTAATTGCCATTCTTTAGAAAATAATTAAAATTTAGAATTTAAGAATGTTCTTATTTTTTTCTTCAAGAATTTTTGGTATCCCTGGTATCCCTGGTATCCCTGGTATCCCTGTTATCCCTGGTATCCCTGGTATCCCTGGTATCCCTGGTGTCCGTGGTATCCTTAGTATCCCTGGTATCCCTGGTATCCGTGGTATCCCTGGTACCCCCAGTACCCCTTGAATCCCTGGTATCCCTGGTGTCCCTGATATCCCCGATATCCCTGATATCCCTGATATCCCTGATATCCATGGTATCCCTGGTATCCATGGTATCTATGGTATCCCTGATATCCTTGATATCCCCGGTATCCCTGGTATCCCTGGTATCCCTGGTATCCGTGGTATCCATGGTATCCATGGTATCCCTGATATCCCTGTGGTATTCCTTGCAAAAACTACATATGTGTTTGTAAGTAAGTTGAATTTCTCTCTCTCTCTCTCTCTATTTGTATGTTAATCCGTCCGAATAATTGGTTGTAGTTATTTGGACACTTTCTCCTTGGTTTCCCATATTATAAAATATATACATTGTCAATTTGGAATTATTTTCAGATAATTAACTTTCACTTACGTGTGATATATCTTATTATCTATCTATCTATTTCGAATAAACTTTCTTTAAACTTTCATTTTCCTTTGACTTATTATTGCATCCGTATTTGTAAGGAAGATATTCCCAGATTTTAATCGTAAAACTAATTTTTCCTTTTTTCAGTTAGTTAGCTATAGTAAGACACGTCGTAAGCTCTGAAATCGTCTATATCGATTCTGATTTTCTTTTCAATACGGTGCAAAAAATATGGAAAAAATAAGATTTTTGTTAAAAAAATTGAGACTTTAAAACAAGGTTTGTTATTCAAATCCCGAAAGCTTTGTTACCCAATGTGAACTAGTGAAAACTTTTAATTCTATTAGATCAAATAATCTAGGCTTGAAATATGAAAAGGTATAAGAGCTGGGAACTTTTGAATGGTCGACATCGGGATTAATGCTTGATCTACTCTTTTTCTTAATCTCGAGATTAAATAACACTTGTTTTCCTCTTGTTATTAATCTCCAGATTACTTAATCGATCGGGATTAAAGATATCCCATTCTAAAGTTTTCAGCTCAGGTTGCAAAGATATCAGGATTAGGAAATTTGAGTTTAGGGCAATGACTAATATCCTTTTTCAATAGAAACCGTAATTATTAAGAATTGTTGATCTGTAGTAATTAGATGGGGATGGGGGTTAACCAAATATCAGACTACTCCTGTATAAAGGTCGGCCAAATGAACACGAGAAATACCCACCAAAATATCGTCTTTCATTTCCGATAACAAATTATGATAAAGAGAGTAGAAAAGTTGCACGTCTTTCAAGCGTTTTTTTTGGACATCATGTTAAAAGTACTGTTTTCCTGGAAATGTTGATAATATAAACAGATATTTAATTATACAAAGACGACCAAACTTGAATAAGAAAATCTAAAAAATACGGATAAATTGTCAACAAATAAAGGAAATTTTTTAAAACAAAAACAATTATCAAACTTCTATGTTTATACAAAAGGTCGTTCAATTAAACAATGGAAATACCCACACATGTCTTACTAGTGTAAATAAAAGAAGATTTTAAAGTTCCATGTTATCCGGGGGAAAATAGCTTTGAACAATATATGTTGTCCTTGTTGATAATTTACACAGATATTTAACACTTATAATTAACCATTCAACGACGACCAAACTTGAATAAGAAAATCTTATGAAAAATACGAATAAATTGTAAACCTCTTAAATCTTTCAAAAATAATCAATTTTTTATAACAAAAACAAAAATAATTATATTAAACTATAAACATGAAAATCATATAATGCATGGTTTAATATATTTGTCAATCTGACGTACTAACCCTCCTAACTGGAGTATATAAGTTTTCCTAAATATTTAGGATAAGAATCACTTCTATATATATGAGTCCTAGAGCAGTGCTCAGTTTACGTATTCGTGTGGTATTTTGTCAGTTTGTAGTTTGGTTTCCCTGCGATTTGTACTTGTTTGCCGTGCTTTCGGGTTGGGTTCGGTTAGCTCAGGGTCGGAGAACATCTGGAGTAGATTGTTTATAAATATCCTGGAGTAGGGTTTCAGGATTTAATATTCATATTGCTCCTTCGCTTTGTTGAGAGCATCCAGAACAGGAACAGCCATCTCAATAGATCTAGAAAAAAATTAATATTATATGAATAACAAAAAACTAAATTTAAAAATTTATCGGTCAACATTTTGTAAATTCAACCTTCCAACTCGGAGAGGACGTATAGGACGTAAAGGACGGAGTAAAGCTGATTTTGAGCGGACAGAATTGAACCCTCGTTTAGTGTGATAAAAGAAGTTTGAGACAGGATTAAGCTTATCATTCTCATCCGCATATGCTCCAAATATTGCTGAGTCAACAAGAAGAAGAGCTCCTAGTGCAGGAAGTATATAAGCCGCATTTGTGGCGAGAGTACGTCCAACATCCGCCCCAAGATCCACGGTAAGAGCTCTCTCAGATCGATAATTTTCATCGGCCATGATAGATTCCGCCACGGCGGATAAATATTCGATCAGACATTTCAAACCAAATCCGGCGCATTCTGACATTTTTTCAGGGTACTCACCCGCACCTGAAATAATTTGATTGATTACCTCTTAGCGAAGGATTGATAGTTCTGAGCGGGAGCATCGTATCCAGTATCATAGGCTGGTTGCTCGTATCCGTATCCGTATCCAGTATCCCCGCTATCTCCAGAAAGACTAGCCAGACTTATACCGAACAGGGGAAGGATGAGAGCTGCAAGGACGAGGATAAAAAGACCGAGGATGACCGCGTTCTGAATAGAGGTTGCGTTAAAGGTAAGGGAGGTTGCGCCTGAACTACCCACGGAGACATATCCCAGCCTCTCATCTCCATCCTCGTAGGACTCAGCGGAGCTGAGGCCAAACAGGGCGAGGGCAATGGCACAGGCAAACAGTTTCATTTTATCTGGAATAAGTTTTAAGAATGACATGGAGAAATATCATCTTTAGTCTATTTTTTTAAATTTAATGTTTATTTTTAAAGAATAGCATGCCGGGGATTAAGGGTAGGTTTTAAAGCGTGCAAAATTCAAATGAAAATGAAATTAATTAAAGCTGAGAGGGATTGACCTTATTCCGTCATTAGGCTAACACAGCAGCTGGACATGTATACATACATATATACATACTATCCAACCATATGGTTCGATAAACATATGGTTATATTCTCACTTTCCCTTTTCTTCAAGCTTTAGAATATAAATCAAAAGTGCATATTATTAAAATATTTTATTAGATTTTCAAAATTAATTTTTTTTTTCAATTTTGTTGTTTGCCCGGTTTTAAAGGTTTAAAGGTTTTAAAGGTTTTAAAGGTTTAAAGGTTTAAAGGTTTTAAAGGTGTTAAAGGTTCAAAGGCGTGGAAAGTATACACACACACAAGCACATAATGTGCCAAGAGTTTACCCTACCATGAACAAAGGCCGAAGCGTGGTAATATCATCAACTAGTCTAATATTAATTTTATATTTCTAAACAATTGATTTTTCAAAACTAATTAGAAAAGAGACTGTCGACTAAAATTCAAGTGAACCTTCATATTTTTAGAATTACATTTCCGATTCACTATGGAACCCTTTAAACCTTTATCTGAGCAGCATTTAAAAAAAGATATCTTCCCTTTTTCTTTTTTGTCTCTACTGGTCAAATCCGCAAGTCATTTTTATGTATAAAACACAATTGAAAATACTCAATTTGTAGATAGAAAAACAAGCATATTTGTATCATTTCTGCTGAGACTAGGGTTGAAATGGTACCGTGTCGGGAATTATAAAGTCGTGTAAAATCCCATTAAATACAAAAAAGAGAAACAAAAATTCAGCTGCAAGGAATTGAATATTAGATCAAAGCTCTAATATGAGAAATGTAAAGAGGTTTGATCCCACCACTTAATATGATAAACAATCTCGATGGCAAGAACTTGAAATCATCCAAAAAATCTCCAAGAGGCATGACAAGAATGAGATGACATGACATGAAATAGATTAGAAGTACAGTATAGATCAGATTCACAGGACAGGAAATGGATTATACAGGAACTAGATTAGTATGACAGGAATTAGCCTAGAAGCACAATTTTCACGGCAGGAATCATATTGGGAAGACAGGAAGTGGACTATAATCACAACAGTATGGCAGGAATTAGATGGACAGGAAGCGAAGCATTATACGGATATGGATACAAGATACATATACATAGATACGGATATAAGCAACCAGCCAGAGCCCGCGATTAAAAAACCAATTATGAAAATCCGCCAAATACAACAATAAACACGTTTTATGAACTAAACTCTGTAATTAGAGTAACTGAAATCCGAAAGCCCGAGCCGTAAATAAGGCTCAACAACATCTTAGACCTGAGTCGTATTTTCTTGAATTTTTTAAATCGCCGGCTCATACATAGATACATAGTACAGGGTAATCCACAAGACTTATTTGATTCTGATTTAAACCATGGAATCTTCATAATGTATACGTTTCAGGTCGTCTTTACAATCTCATTCTTTGTGGGTAACCCTGTAGCTAAACATATTAAATTGGTTACTTTTTAACCTTTTGCCTTTAATATACTTATTTTGTGATCTATTCCTATTTAAAGTTTTAATAATATTATGGTTGAGGTGTGCTGTAAGGTGTGATGAATGAGGAAATGTGCTCTATTTACGATACTATACATAAACATGAAATTATTTGGTTATAAAACTCTTCACCCGGAACAAATAGAAAACAAGAGTTACCAAAACAAAAGTTAGAAATAATGAAAGTGTTTTTTCAACATATTTTGAAACTGAAAACGTTTTCTTGTGCATCTTATTGTTTCTACAGGGTGTCAATTTCCTAGATTTAGTCACGATTTCACTATTGTTCATTTCTTGGATTGCACAGAAAGTATAATTAGTAAATTTCACATTATTTGTCCCAGGGCTTAGAAGTAATATATTTAAATAATCATTTTGAATCCCTATAATTATCATAGATTTCAACACATTTCAAAAAGAGATTAAAACATTTTTATAACAAATCAAAGAAAGTATGCAAGGGGTTGACAGCATGCTGAAAAATAGAAAGATTAAAGCATCATGCTTAAAATTTTTAAATCGTGGACAGGATGCCGATAGATTTGAAGATAATGCCAGCGTTCTGGAAGATTTGAAATTAATGACAGCATACTGAAACTAAACTGTATAAAGCATGCTTAAAAGTTGGAGAAAAGCAGCATGTTTAAACGGTTAGAAAATAGCATGCGAATAGAAAGTATAAAAACCGATAGCATGCTGTAAGATCCAAAGTGCATGTTTGATTGTCTAAGTTGGGTATAAAAGGATTCGGAAAGGAATTGAGTTTTTGTCACAAATTCAAATATTTGAATCCTTATATCTTTGCTTCCTGATAGTATAAACCTTTGATATTTCAAACTTTTTGATCTAACAAAATTTCTAAGGTCTTCAACATTGGGTTGCAAGATCCCTATTTGTGACAAATATTCAAGAATCAGCAATTTAAAAAAAAATGTTGGTTAATCCTCACAATTCCGTTTCTGAACACAACAATATTAAAATAAGTAATGATAAATTGGAATAAAATATGTAAAAATGATAAGTTGGAATAAAATATGTAAAAATGATAAATTGGAATAAAATATGTATAAATGATAAATTGGAATAAATATGTAAAAATGATAAATTGAAATAAAATATGTAAAAATGATAAATTGGAATAAAATATGTAAAACTGATAATTTGGAATAAAATATATAAGAATGATAAATTTGAATAAAATATGTAAAAATGATAAATTGAAATAAAATATGTAAAAAATCATAAATTGGAAAAAAATATGTAAAAATGATAAATTGGAATAAAATATGTAAAAATGATAAATTGCAATAGAATATGTAAAAATGCAAGTTTTGATGACAAAGATCTTGAATTGTGTACTGTAGTCTAGTGTACGTTATGACTGGACAATTCTTTGAGGGGGTTCCCCTCAGACAAGATGACTCAACCAAATAAAACAGAAGAGACACAAATGAGAAAACAAAATGTGTTCTCACATTTTTGTCGGGATATTCTGCAAAAATTTAACAGCAGGGAAAGTAAAACAAACATTGAAGTTTTAATCATCAAAAAGGTATAAATCATTAAAACAAATGCTTATTTCAATGTTTAAAAAGTTTGATTTTAAACCAATATTATGGTTTTGATTTAACAAATTTATCTTTAAATGCTCACACTTAAACCAATACTAATACTGTGGAGTGCAGTATAATAAATACTACTACTGTGTACTAGTAGTACTAGGCTCAATGGTTTGGCGGAGACTGATCTGTGTTCTACTTCTATCCTGGAGACATGAACGCGGTCTGGCGGAGCTCAGGAGAGTTTAACGCTAGCTGTGGCGGATGTAGACCCTGGGGAAAGTTTAACTTTGCTCCGACCAGAGCTGCAGAATAATCCAAGGTTACGCAGGAATGCGTAAACTCTCGTTAAGAATCGTATGTAGCACGCGTACACGTCTTGGCTTTGTTTCCCACAATTTGGTAGAATTAACACAAGATGTTGACACTTTTTGTAAATAACATTATTGCGTAATTCGCATGTTTGAATAAAAGTTTTGACATTTTACTCCAAACTTTTAATTGGTTTAAGTTTGCACAAGCCACTCAACTTGTCTCAAAATTCACACTTTTTGAAGTTGTAAATGTTTGGATAACGCTTTACAATAAAAAACCTGATACTTTTTGATTTCGCAGTGGCTTTCAAGGTTTATCTAAAATTCGATATTGCTTTGAGGCAAAATACATATGCTATATATAGATTGATTCTAAACATTGCAAACTTTGAACAATTTTTTCTTGAAAGTTTCAATGAAGAAATAACTAATTTTAATGACTTTAATGGCAGATTTTTTTCTCACGAAATGTATTTTGTCAAGTGAACGATTACAATTATCTTGACACAATTATTGCAGTGTACGATTCACAACCACAACCTCTAAACCTTTATTTAAGTAACAATGAGAAAGATGTCGTAGTTTTATATATTGAAAAGTGTTTAATTCTGACATTTATCTTCACTGTCTCTGCAGCCTAAATCTGCAAGTCATTTCCTTCTGTTTCAACCATAGAATAACACAAACAACTTTGATTTATATCTTATATAAATTACTCGATGAAAGAGATATAGATTTTGAATTCTTCTACAAGTGTAAGTGTACTGTAAATGTAAAACCTTCCAATATTATCAGTATTTAAAGTAGGTGCAGGCGGAAAATACTTCCCATTTTGTGAATAAATAAAGTCTGTTCGAAAAATTGCACATTTTCATAACTTTTCTCAGTAGAGTTTGAAAATAGTATTTCTTGAAATATTTCTTGTATGTTAATTGTATTTCTTGAAGGTCATTAGAGCATTTTTGACATCTTGTTTAAAATGTAAATTTTGTGTATGACTAATAAACATTTTTGCTCAAGTGCCTGCAGTTGAGAAGATAAAGTAGTACAGTGTACTTAAAATTAGATTTGTCATCCATTCTAATTTAAACTATTTTATGCATCTAACTTATGCATTTTTATCTTTAAATTTAGGTAGAATGTTCAAGCTTTGATACGTAAAATCACATTATGACAGTTTTTATTTTTTCGTGTAATTTGATTAATGGATTCCATTACACCAACAATATTTGATTAATGGATTCCATTACACCAACAATGATAATCTTTTGTTTTATTAATTGCTTATTTCGAGATAAATGCATTGCAAGGCCAATAGATTTTTTTCTAAAAAAATGCAATAATACTTCTGTAAATAAAACAGTTAAACACAGTGAGAAATTAGGAAAAATGAATTAAAAATGAATCAAAACTATGTTTTTAAGTACATTTAATCATTCTAAAACGATGTCAA